ATATCGCTATTTTTTTTTCGATATCATGCAGCCGTATTACTGTATATTTTTAACAGTTTGTTTACCATTGAAATATTGACTATTTTGAGCACGTTGGAATAAATGTCCATAAGTCTCTTGTGCCCAATACAGCATCTCATCATGTCTTGAGTTAAAAGAATAGTTCAATTTTCTTCCTAATATGGCAATAGCCTCAAACTCATTTCCTGGAGGGCTGCAGCCCTCCAACTCACACCTGCTTAATAGTCTCTAGTAGTCTTGAACACCTTGATTAGTGATAATCTATAATCAAGATAAGCTTTGTATGATTAGGGTTGGAGAAAAAAACTGTGCATGCAGCCATCCAAGAATCAAGTTTGAGACCTATGAACTAAGGGGTGGATTTTGAAAAGGTTAGTTTTCAGCACTGATCCCATTCTGCTTGCCATTTGTTTAGAGCAGTGTTTCTCAACCATGTTCCTGAAGGGCCACCAGCTCGGCACATTTTCTTTGTCTCATTAACCAAACACACCTGATTTAGATCAGCAGAGACTGAGAGACCTGTAATAGGTGTGACAGTAGGCATGGGCAGGTATAAGGTTCTGACGGAATAATAACCTTGGTTAAAAATATCACTGTATCACGGTATTGTGATTACTGCTCTAAAAGATATTATTTGTAAATGTCTGGGTAAAAAAAATCCCCTTTGAAAACAAAATATTAAATTTTTTGAAATACTTAACAGGGCTCGAAATTTACTTTTTTACTTGGTAGCACCGGTGCTCCCAACTTCAAATATTTAGAAGCACCAAAATAAATTTAGGAGCACCAGAAAAAATGAATGAGCACCGCTGCAAATTGCTTTTTAAGGGATTTATTGTATTTTAAAACAACATCAATAGGACTGACAAAAACCAGAAACAACTATCTAACTAATGCTGCGAAGACATTGATATTTGTGTGCAATAATTCCAAAATGAATGTCTAATAATTAGGCTATAGAATATTAGTGATGATGAAAATGACAATAATAGTAACAATGAATTACATTTCTCATTATGATACTGCCTTGAATGTGCATGAATGTAGGTTATCTGCTATAAAAAGTCTGTTACTTTATGAAAAATAATTGTATAGTTTGCATCAAACAAAAATGAAGCATTGGAGTAAGAAATATTTATTTTGCACTGCTGTTTTTATATGCATGTCAATTTAATAAATAATATTTCTGCTACTAAACAAACAAAAGATTATAATAAATCATTCAATTCAATGATGAAAGCTGCAAAGCAGTCATCAGTAAATAAATAAAAAAATATATATACACCTCAAAAAAGAATAGACAAAAGAAAGAAAGTAAAGTCTCACTTCTATCACTCTTTAAAAGATTTGGTTTCAGTTTGTGTCAATTTAAAGGTTCAGTCTGAGATGATCTTCATTTTTCTGTGTAAGTGGAAAAGCTGGCGAGTCAGCCGACCCAATTTATGACCAGGCAGAGCAGGATTCTTGCGATGACCACCGGCGAAATACCGCTCTTTGTTATGAGCCACAGTTTCAGTGTAAACTTAGTAAAGGCGAGCTTCTTTGGCGATGATATGTACAGTATTAGATTTGACTTTTAGCGGACATTTGCGCTGAACACGCAGTGAATGCGACGCATGGAGATTCGGGCGCCTTCTCCAAGAAGCGCATACTCGATTGATCTCAGCTGGCGGATCATTATTCACCACGTGACGTGTCATGATCGCTCTCATCTGCACCTCAATTTTAGGTGGGGTTTGCAAACCTGTGTGCTTTAAGTTTTTACTCTTTAGCCGTTTGCATTTCCCGTGGTCATAAAAGCTCCTTCCCTGTCATCTGACAGCGGAATACCTTGAGTGATTGACAGCTAATATGAACCAATATAGCGGCAGGGAAGAGCTATTCAGCACGTTTTTACAAAAAATCAAAACAGGTCGCACTACAACCATTATCAGCAGTCGCACTAATGCTCCCAAATATTTTATGAGGTCGCATAGATTAATTTTCGGGCGCATATGCGACCAAAATGGTCGCAATTTCGAGCCCTGCTTAAAATATTTTGGAGCAGTAAACATGTCAGGTTGAATAAAAAGGCATATTTTGATATCTTTCCTGCTGGAGACACTGTTGTCTTTAAAAAAAATAAATAAATTTTTTTAAAAATCTTAAACATAGCTTGGGAACGGTATTATAGAACGGTATTATAGACATCCAAAACATGCAGTGCTAGTGGTCCTCCCAAACGTGGTTGAGAAACAAGGTTTAGAATATAGTTTTCTATTATTTCTTTTGAGACTGAAAGTGAGATGAAAACTGACATGTGATGCAACTGTCAATAGTGGGATCTTCTTTTATTTCATTTGCATTTATTTATATCTTTAAATACAAAATGCTGATGTTTTTCATTATAAGGCCAATATATACAAAGGATTAGACAGCTGATGTTTATGCTCATCACATCATGAGGACAGAGCACTGACTTCTGTCACAAACACAGCATGTGCCGCTCATGCTAATGGGTTTCTCAATGTCATACCAACACCACACAGACTGCTCTTTATGACACATGATGACCCGTGTTCTCTCTCGCTCTCATAGACCTCCTGCACATTTCCCCTGACAGCTAAACATTCAAGTGCGGAAACAGGGAAAACTGGAGCTAGTTGTCATTCTTTTTTGCCCCAATAATGCTACATATAGTACAGTACATATTCAACAGCCTATTATCAACTTTTAGACATCAAAACCAACTACTATATTGGATGTGTGACAATTGCCCCACTGTCTTTACATATGGACTTACGAATATATGATACATGTATGGATATATATATATATATATATATATATATATATATATATATATATATATATATATATATATATATATATATATATATATATATATATATATGGCCAATATACCATACATGCATCATTGTATTTTATTTTTTTTTTTTGCATACATATGCTTGGGTGCAAACTGCATGTGTAATATCGTTCATCAAACAATTCTTATCAGTGCTTATCCTGAACGACACAACTTATATAAAAAGGTCATAAACCAACAGTGTCAGGCAGCTCAAATGTAGGTTTGTATCAGTGCATGTCATTATGCAACAAAAAAGCTCACACTCCAGAATGTCATGTACACACTCATGACCATTTGTCCAGGATGAGGTAAAGTTAAAGAAAAGTAAACAATGTTCAGTTTCTTTCAGTTTTGCATTATAAGACCTCGGTGTGTCACGAGTAGTCATGTGTATTACTTTTGTTTTGTCCGTATATGTTTTTCACTCTCTTGATTTTTAGGAATCACCAAGGACCACAGTTGCAGCTAAAAATGGTCCTTGTATGTTCTACTAAAAAGAAAAGTTACCCACATCTTGGATGTCCTGAAGGTGAGCAAATTAACTTTCATTTCTGGGTAGATTATACCTTCAAAGTTCGTCAAATTGTTACCAATACACACAAAGACTCAATACATGATCTTTATCCGATCCAGATTATCAATACACAATTTTAATATTAAAACTTTAAATGGCTCACAGATTGAACAAGTTGCATCTTATAAATATTCAGATGTCTGGCTTGATGATAAGTTGACTTGTAGTAGTCATATCGATAACCTTTTTAAAAAACTCAAACCAACATTAGGTTTTTATTGTCGTTTAAAAAAAATTTTACATTTAGTTGGGAGTACATTTTTTTTTCAGTATTGGATACTTTATATGCACGCACCTCTGAATGTTTTAAATAGTTGGATATTGTTTATCATATCGCCTTAAGATTTGTCACTGGTTTAAGTGCATGCAAAGATCACTGTAATTTATATAAAATGACAGAATAGACCTCATTACAGTCAATGGGAAAACAACGTATTTTACTTTTAATTTTTAAAGCTTTAGTTGGTAAATTATCACAGTATATATCTAGTTTGTTGGAGTGTTCAAAAACATACAATACCAGATCAGCAGATACACTCTTACTTTTTTTTCACACAGGTCCATCTGCTTTCTCTAAGTATGCTCTATCAGTATGGAATAAGCTTCAAGATATACTACAAATAAAATCCATCCCATCTATCGCTATATTTAAAAACTTTTTAAAGACTGTCAATTTAGAATAGTGCACATGTTTTAACCATTGATTATGGTTTATACTATGTATGTGTGTGTCTCTGTGTTGTGATACTCTATGTATTCTTATTTATTTTTTTGTAACTTTGTTCTATGTTGCATGCCTTGACCAAAACTCCAGGTAGAAGAGATATTGTATCTCAATAAGCGTTCCTGGTAAAATAAACACATTTAAAAAGTTTATCTAATATCGAAATGCCCTTAAGCAAGCTTAAAACTCATTTAACACATAAAAGACTGAAGCAACACAACTGATGTCTGTTAGGTTAACAGGGACACATCATGAAATAGTGGTTTGTTTATTTTGACAGAAGGAACAAGACCTGCACTGTGAATACTGCTTATGTGTTAAGGCTACATAACTGACTGACTGGCTAACATGAAGTAAGGAAAACAATATCTTGTTAAAGAAATGATTAACCCAAAATAAACTTCTGGCATCATTTATTCGTATTTCTTCCAGTCTCAATCCACGTTGATAAGTGACTACGTTAGCGTGACTGAGGCTGTCATTGTGTTTCTCAGACAGGTTTAAAACTGTAAGGGAGAGTGAAAGACAAAACAATTTTCATTTTTAATGAACTCTCTCTCTCTCTCTGTCAAATAAACTTTCCTAATGTCAAACCCTAAAAGCCAAACAACCAAAACCTCAATGACTCCACCACACACACGTTTGCGTAAAGGTGAGGACGCAGAAACCTGTCCAAACACGTCTAGCCTACGCAAGATAAACGCGCAGAAAGAAACCTGAGGTTCTCTGACCAGCGTCTGCCTCGGCGATGCACAGCGGAAATGTTGGACACTCGGATTCCGCTACAAGTGTCCGAACAGGAGAAAGCGAGAGGAAGAGGGAAGTCTTACCGAGATACTGCCTGATCTCCAGCAGAACTTTAGGGGGTCCTCCGTTCAGCTGGTAAAAGAGCGAGCCGAGGCAGAAGAGCAGCAGTGTGGCCATGCAGAAAGCATAATCACGCAGGGAGAAGCGAAGCCCGAGAGCCGACAACCAGAATCCTCTCCTGCTGTTACGATCTGTGCCGTGACTCGCGCTGTGATTGTTTAGACGGGAGCTGCTGCTGTAATTCTTCATCGTCTCCTCACATGGAAGCGCAGAGAATGGTCGTCACCCATCCGCCTCTTCAGATAAAAACTTTTCGGTCAACATTTAAACACCAACCAAAAGCCCCTTCACGGATCGATGCGCGTGAACGAAGCCGTTCAGAGTTTCGCCTTCCCCTCGGTCGTGTTTTCTCGTCTGCTCTTGCTGAGCTATTTTTGCGAATGAAGTTGGGAATCCATCCTCTGCTTTTTGGGGTTAGTGTCGGTGTCAGATTACCAAATGTGGAGGAAAAAGTTCAACCGGAGGATGGACTCAAGCTCACGCGCTGCCGTGTGCCGTTCAGCTCCACCAGGCGGAAGACGCGGGAAATCGCCTGTGAATCAGCACTGATAAGAGTAGCTGAAGGAAAACTACAAAACACACACTTTCTGCTGCAAAATCTCGTATTATTTTAGCTAATACAGAAATTGTAATAAAATAGGCCCCAGTCTTTAATGAAAACTATGTGCAATAACTATTTACGTTTATACTATTTATCATATCTATTAATCATATGTACTGTAAAAATCCTTCTGTTTGCACAATTCTGATATCTATATCGGTCTGTCTGTCTGTCTGTCTGTCTGTCTGTCTGTCTGTCTGTCTGTCTGTCTGTCTGTCTGTCTCTGTCTTAAAATGACTGAAGCAGACTTAAGTGCAAAGCAGTGCTTTGTTTTTGGTAGAAAGTTTCAGGTCAGGGAGGGCAAGAAGGATAACAGCAAAGATAGAAACATTTTAATTAAATATAAATTCAGCCAAGAGCAAAGTTCATGACTGAGCAGTTTTAGACAATAGAAACAAGCTAAACTAAATCTGACTCTTTCTGCTGTTGGAGTAAGTGTCAGAATGATAAAAGCAGCCTGCTTCACAATGCTTTCTTTTATAGTGCAACACAATATCTTTTATTATTATAGAGGCATTCAAAATCAAGTGGGTTGACTTTATTTAACCCTCTAGTGATATAATCATGCCTGCTCATTGCCAAATTTGAAGGCAAAAAGTGCTCAAATAATATGCCTCCTTTTTCGCTTTTAGCAGTGTTTGCTAGTGTTTTGGCGGTTCATTCCGCTATGGCAACCCCTGATGAATAAAGGGACTCAGCTGAAGGTAAATGAATGAATGAATGAATAATTGAATGAATGCAATTGTTTCCGCCGGCTGTGTGGTTTCTTGTGATCTTTGTTATTATTTTATCATAGACTGATAAGAAAAAAACATTAAAAAGTTTACATGTTCTCAAATTAGGAGGCTCAAATATGCACTGTTACTTAAATGCACTCCTATTTAAAGCATGAATTCCCTTTTTATCCATCCATCCATCAATCTGTGTCTGTCTATCCATCCATCCACCCATCTATCTAGCTATCCATGCCGTTTTTATCATTTTGATAAAGATGAAGTTTAACATTTGAAGAAAACGAACACGTCTGGAGTCAAAAAGTTCTGCAAATAAAGTCTGGACTCATTAAGATTTTTGATTAGACAATAGGAATATTATAATATCAAGTGAATAGCGAAGAATGGAAAACAGCAAATGTAGGATATTTTTCTTTATTTCACCTCAAATGGACAAATATTTTAAGACATTTTTTGTTTGTAAATACACGAGCAAAACTTTATAGACAATCATTAGCGAACTGGAACCAGATAAAATCATTTTTATACATATATTTTACAATGGTCACTGGAGCATGTCACTACAGCTAACTACAGGTGAGAGTATTGCTCAATGATGTATAGTACAGCTAATAATTACATTTGATGCAAAAGCAAAATAAAAAATAAGTTATTTAAATATCAATTACATATAAAGAATGTGCAACCTCAGTTAATCATTTCATATATGTAATTAAGACCCGGTTTGATGTCATTTAAATGGAAATAATTAACTGGACATGACTAGTTCTGTAATTAATTAAGACGTGATTATAGTTTTAAACAGAGATTCGATATTTAAACAGCCCGCTTCAACCATCCACATTTCACCTGAAAACAAAAGAAAACTGTAAATGTGTCAATTTGTAATCTCATTTTCTCCACAATGGAGTTAAAAAACGTTCATTCTTTAATAAAGTGCATTTTTACAGTAACATCATGAAATATATTTTCAATTTTAAATACATAAAAGCCTCATTGTTATCAAAGCACTCAAGCAGTTTTGAAGGCATCCGTTCTGATATAAAAGAATCCATCGATTCTCTACTGCTATTCAAAATCTCCAGAGTTACAGTCTATAAATTGTGCTGCGTTGGATACAAAAGACTAAATGGCATGGGGAGAAATACAATTCTAAAGCGAGCATTCAAAAAGACAGCACTTGATAAAAATCGCAAGGCCTTGGGGAAGCATGACGAGTGTCTTTCTGTCATTGGAAAACTAGAAGATTTTTAGGAGCATCTACACTACCTGACAAAAGTCTTGTCGCCAATCCAAGTATTAGGACAACATAAAATAATTTGTCTTCCAGTTGACCATTTGGTATCAGTAGTGGCTTATATGAAAGGCAAATGCCTCTAAATTACTCTTATTTTACCAAAATAAAGATATGATCATGTTTTGATTTTTAATTATTTAATTAGGACAGTCTGACTCTGCTTAGATAAAAGTCTTGTCACTTAACAGAAATAATGTACAGTATAGAATATAAAGTCATGATGCAATGGAACAGGAAATAATATAGTGTATGACTCCTATATATGAGCTTGGACGATTGCATCCATACATCTCTGCAATGACTCAAACTATTAATAAAGTCATGTGGAACGGTAAAGAAAGTGTTCTTGCAGGACTCACAGAGATCATTCAGATTCTTTGATCTTCAATGCCTACTCCAACTTACCCCAGACATGCTCAAAAATGTTCATATCTGGTGACAGGGCTGGCCAATCCTGGAGCATCTTGACCTTCTTTGCTTTTAGAAAACCTTGATGTGGAGGCTTAAGTATGAGAAGGAGCGCTATCCTGCTGAAGAATTCGCCCTCTCCTGTGCATTGTAATATAATGGCCAGCACAAATGTCTTGACATATCAGGCTGTTAATGTTGCCGTCCACTCTGCAGATCTCTCACATGCCCCCATGATGAATGTAACCCTCAAACCATGATTTTTCATTCACCAAACTTGACTGATTTCTGTGAGAATCTTGAGTCGATGCGGGTCTTCTGCAGTATTTGTGATGATCGGAAATCTCTGTATTATTTGTTGCTCTTTCAACTGAGATGGATGACAAGGCTTTTGTCAGGTAGTGTATATGTTTTTTTTGACTCAATCAAAAACAATCTTGCTTCATTGTGCTTAATTTAAAGTGATGTCCTAAATCTGTGACCACATCATACTAATGCCTAAATGACATCACTAACAGACTTCAGCGAACGTTGTAGTATTCATTTAGAAATGAGTCTGCTAGATGCTGACTGTGTTTGATGAGAGAATCTCCTCTACCGAACACCAGATGTGTGAAAACTTGTGTTATATCCATCCTCAGTTACCGCATAACACAATAGTCTCCCTGAAACACACACATCAATGTATTAAATAACAAAAAAAAAAAGTTTGACCTAGTGGAAGAATTACTCGTGGACTTAAATCATCATTACTTCTCACATACAAAAACAATTATGTGGTAATGTGACTTTCATTTTTTAAAAATCTAACAAATAAACACTGCATCCAAATTTGAAACAGTTTTGAATCACGACTGAAGCCACACACTCGTCTAAGTTAGTCATTATCAGATTTGATTGACTTGTATTTTAAGGCTAAGACTGTGTGCTTTCAAGAGCTCGAGGCCTTTTTTTTCTTCTTTTTTTCAAGATTTAGAATGTCATCAACACCCCAGTCAAAGTGCAAGGCAATCTGGGGCGAATAAAACAAAACAAAACAACAAAAATGTACACTCCAGCAAGAATATTACAGCTGTGTGATGCATTATCTGCATCAGAGATGAATATGATAAGAGGTACACAATATGCATGAGTATAACTTTCAAGATAACAGGCAACAAAAATTGATACAGTAACAAACGCTGATATGTTGAATATTGTGTGATTAGAAGACTGGGAAGGCTAAATGTGCTGTGAATATACAGGATCATATTAGGCGGAATATAAGGAGTAACCATGACGAATGCTTGTTCAAACACAAACACAAATCCCTTGACCAACTATTGGCCTAAAATCAAAATAATGTGCATTGCTCTGAATATCCCCAATATGGCAACCGTGTTTTTTGGGGAATTTGACTCGATCTTTTCATATACATACTCTTAAGCTTTGAGAGAAAAAAAAGTTTATATCAACAAAACCTGCATGAAACGACATTGCTTTGGCCAGATGACTTGCTCTTGATGTGCTTCATAAAGCACTAAAACTTTTTTTTTTCTAAACAAAACTCTCACTTTCTGAAAAAGCAAGAGAGGGGTACGGTCTTTAAATTCATACAAAAGCATAAAATCTCCAGAGAAAAAGATGTGCTTTCTTTCGACAGACGGTCCTTTCAGGCCAAAACTATCTATTGATAGGCCCACAGTAACAGTCCTTGGAAGCCAGATTTCCAAAAATGCCAAAAAACAGAGAGGTGTGGAAAAAATTTGGCAGTCATCGAGGTCTGGCACTTTGATCTGTTTCTTCAAGTTTATAAGCGCTCGTATCCATATTATGACTGTCCTGAGCTGGCGGCTGAGACGAGTTGAGCTTCACTGAGAAGAATCCGTATGTGATGTTCCTCCTTCAGGCCCGCGTCCCTCGCTTGCGCCTCATTTAAAGACGACACACGACTCAACGTGTCAAAGCCAGCAGCCAGTAGAGGTGCAGAATACATAGGCATTCCGATGGACACGAGCCAATCAGAGACAGAGCTCACATGAACCAGAGACACTGGCTTCCGACACATGTCAGTCAAACCTCCTGAGGGAATCTGTGGGAAAATTAAACACACAATGGTCAATGCTGATGCAGTTGAGTATCACCAATCAATCTGTAACTCAGGCGTCACGGTGGCGTAGTGGGTAGCATGATCGCCTCACAGCAAGGTCACTGGTTCGAGCCTTGGCTGGGTCAGTTGGCATTTCTGTGTGGAATTTGCATGTTCTCCCTGTATTCACGTGGGTTTTCTCCGGGTGCTCTGGTTTCCCCCACAGTCCAAATACATGCGGTACAGGTGAATTGGGTAAGCAAAATTGTCTGTAGTGAGTGTGTGAGTGTGTGTGTGTGTGTGTGTGTGTGTGTGTGTGTGTGTGTGTGTGTGTGTGTGTGTGTGTGTGTGTGTGTGTGTGTGAATGAGTGTATAGATATTTCCGACTGATGGGTTGCAGCTGGATGGGCATCTGCTGCGTAAAACATGTGCTGGATTAGTTGGGGATTCATTCTGCTGTGGCGACCCCAGATTAATAAAAGGACTAAGCCGAAAAGAAAATGAATGAATGAATGAATCTATAACTCACAGCCATGCGGTGCTCCTTGCGGAGTTGTTTAACTCTGATTTGATCAAGACTGGACGCCACGTCCTTCGCTGGCTGCTGGAAGTCCTCTGAGTACCTCTGAACTAAGAGCTGAGGAATACCACACCGGCCATGCTGAGAAACACAGAGAGAGAAATAGAGAAAGATTAGCCAGGAAAAAAATCTAGTGTTGGAAAATAGAAATCTTTTTTTTATTATTATTTTTGTCTCTTGTTCTTTTAATCAAACAATTATTTGTATTGGTCATGTAAGGGTCATATATTAACTAAACTTCTACTGTTGTGTGTGAGTGCTGTGCATACTAATTAGCATTTTTGCAGAAGTAGATAGATGCAGGTCCAAAATTAAATTCAGTTCTGCAGAAACTTAATGTCTGAAGAGAGGTGTTAAAACTGAACACAGAGCACAGAAAGTTGTATGCTTTTTTTGTTGTGCAGAGAATTCGTGGTAAAAGTGGAAGTATGTCTAAGGTGCGGCCAATGGAGGACTGAACAATGACTGACAAATGACAAATTTCATTAAACTCCACCTGTTAATATCAGCTGCCTATAAAAGTTGAAGAAGTCTGGAAAAGAAGATTGTTGCGCACCTCCTTAATGTAACTTCTGCATTGCATTGAGAATAACAGAATTCTGTGAATCAAATTATTCAGTTGTATCCAATAAATTGTTTTAATTTTTGACATTGAAGAAAAAACCTCTCCTGACCTTTTTTATTTTATTATATTTTATTATTATTATTATTATATTATATTATATTTTTATTATATTCCAGCACTAGCAACGTTCTCCACCTCTCAAATGGAGAACACCTCTAGAAAGCGTACAGTAGTCCTTAAGAGAGACAGAAATCCGGTCATCAAAATATAAAAAATATGAGGAGAATGTTCTAACGCTGGACTGTTTTAAGCTAAGCCATGATTAACGCTTAGCTAATGCTCAATTGGTCTCAGACTGTGGACTCTGAATAACAACAGAAATTATCAGATCATAAAGTTTACTTCATGTGGCTCTTTAATTGATTTTACGCTTGGTGGAGACCGAGCACACTTGGAAACCAAGGCTGACTCACAAACAAGCTAACTTTATGTGGCAATTAGAGCATTACGAGGCAAGCACGGCTAAATTGTTTGTTTAATTTGAGATTTAGTGCTCTAATGCTAACATCACCCTGTGAGGCGCAACCGAGATGCAGTTTAATCATCCTCAGCAAGCGTTTGTTAGCATGCCAAATGGCCATCTTGCTTTTCCAAATTAGACTACATGACTTTTAGTTTTGCGAAGCAAGCACTTTTAGCATTGTAGAGCAATAGTCTGACATCTTTGTGAAACAATTAACAATCTAAACACAGCACATTGTTTGTGCTCCTCTGGCAAGCTGCAAGACGAGAATGTATATACTTTAAATTATACACAACAGCTTGTTAACTGAGAGATTAAATGTGCTCAAATACATTCAATCCATTTTTTGTGCCCAATTCGGGATACATCCGATAGGCTGTGGGTCTAGGCATAATTGGATTGGCTGCCAATAAAAAGCAGTAAAACTCCAGGCAGTCGGTGTGGTTTGAAACCACAAGCTGCTCTAGTGTTTTCATTTTAAAGAGGGGATATTTTTCACCTCTTATTCACCTTCTTGTGTACAGTAAACTCAAAGAAGTGAATTGGAATCAGACTTGGTCTTTGTTTATTGTACTGTAGATATTTACATACCAAGAACGTGAGATGGATATATGCTCCGTGGATGCTAAAATCTCTGCTTTTAATGTACTGCATTGTGCTTTCCAATCCAATATGTGACAGTTTTGTCTGTGCGTAGCCATGCATTTAGAGATTTAAAAACAGAAAATTAAATAAAAGGACGATTAATTGTTCAGAGACTGTAGGAAAGACCTGCTACAGGTACTACAGTTATGTCTTACAAGTTAAAGAGTGGAAATAGTGTTTGGATGAGCATTGATTAAAATGCATGTTTCTTTCCATTTCTTTTGACACTTCGAAATAAGGTTCCAGCAGTAAATGGAAGGAAAATATAAACCGGTCGTGAATTTCCAAGGACAGTGGCATGACTAAGTCAAGCCCCCTACTGGTAATCATTGTGCTTCTGTTTAGTCTGCTGATCTTTTTATAACTGTTCCTGTGCTGCCATTTTCCACATCATTTTTACCATATGACGCAGTTCATGAAAACTTGCTGTCACTTGCATAAGAAATCCATGAGATGATACATCAAATCTCTAAAGAGTCTTTACTGGCCCAGCTGGTAGTAGTTGTGTGTGTGGGTTGGGGAGACTGCCCCTTACTGGTAAGAGGGTGGGGACAACTGTCTGCTCCTTTAACCATTCATTTTTTAAGTGCTAATTTAGTTAGGGCTGGGTGATATGACACAAATCCCATATCATGATATAAGTCATCTCATATCCTCATACTATATACAGTACCAGAGATGCCCAAACTGGGGCCTATGGGCCAAAGTTGGCCCATGGTAACCTTTGATTTGGTCCACCATCCCATCTGAGAAGAGAGGAAGAATGATGGGGGTGGCAAAAGCAGATTCTGGTTGATTGGTGTATTCAGCATTGAACTCCACAGTGTTATTAATGCGATTGTTTATGCTTTTAGTGCAATAAGTAATCATTTTAAATGTCATACTACATTAGTTAATATGATTTAAAGGAATGTTTTCTAATAAATTAGGAAATTACCCATGGCAACTTTAATGTAAAATAGTTATATTCACTTTCAGCCCAGGGCTCTCAATGATATTTGGTTTTTGGCCCTTTATACAAAAAAGTTTGGGCACCTCTGCTATATGTATACAGTACCATTACAAAATATAGCACCATTACTGTAAATACACTTTAAAAACTGAAGATTACAGGTCCAGCATAAACATAAACATCAATATATATACTGCCTTATTTTAAATCATGAAATGTTAGTCCTTTACACAACAACTACCAACCCACATGGAACGCAAACACACTTCTGTTGACACATGCGCAAGCTGATCAAAGACTTTAAACCAGAGGTGGGCAGGTTTGGCCCTGGTAAGTCACAGAACTGCAGAATTTTGATTCATCCTTAATAAAAACTCATCTGTCTGTTTCACTCAGACCTTGATGATCTTGAAGCAAAACTATGCAGAACTCTGGCTTTTCAGGGCCATATCTGAAGACCTCTGCTTGTGTGGCCACTTCTGATTCTGACCCATCCTACAATTGTGATGGCAACAGCCTTCATTAATACTTATTCAAAGTGAAACAAAGACTTACTTTATCAGAGTAAGGCTCCTCTTTGAGGTCGATCCCTTCCGAGTGCATCCTGTCCTCCAGCAGAGTCTCTAGGTCAAGCATCTTGGCATGGGAGATCTTCCTGCTGAGAGCGATTTTAGCTCCATGGATTTGAGGACATGCTGATTCAGGCAGGTCAGACAGCCACGGTGGGCTCAGAGGTGCTGCAGATTCACCTGGTGATGCTGGGGTTGATGGGGTACCCTCAGAGGGAGAGGGGGTGGTCGGAGAATATATAGGCTTTGGGGGTAGGGTTGGAGTGTTTGGCACTGAACCGGACAGCACCAGCGGAGGGTGTCGCAGACCATTCGGCAAACGTTCTTTGGACTTTTTAGCAGGCACTGGAGGTGGGATGGGTGGCTTTTTAGGGTGAGTCCTTGGAGCTGGGCTTGTCGGAGCAGAGACAGGTTGACGGAATAAGCTCTGAGAAGCAGGCAATGAACTGACCGGACTCACAGGAAGCTGTGTGGGAACTGCAGGCCTCTGCAAGGAGCCAGTCTGCCTTTTAGCCATATTGGTCTTCTCATCCTGTTTGGAGTCTACAAGATCTGCTTTCATTTCTTTTGTGCTGCTCTCCAGCCTGCCTCTATCCTCACTGCCCTGCTGGTCCTTCCTCTGATCGAAGGCCTGTTCCCAGTGGATATCCCCCAGAGAATGAGAGCGCTTCCAAGAGTCAGGGGTCTCCTGGGGGCTGTCCAACTCCTCACAGCTTCTGCTGAGCGAAATCCGGGAGGTTTGAGCTGCTGCGGAGCCTTTCTTGAGGCCGAGGTTTCGCAGATTGAAGCCCTTCATGGGTCGGGGCAGAAAGGTCTTCGAGAACTTGCGCTCCTTCTTGGCCTGCTGTTGAAGAGCTTCAGTGGAGCGAGTCATGGGAAGAGTGGGATAATCTGGAGACTTTACATCCCCACAGTCAAACCCTGATGAACCACGGCTGTGGCGCGATGCCTTTCGGCTCTTACCTAAAACAGAGAATTGTGCTTTCACATAAATTTATCAATCACATATACTTTCTCTATTAAAGGCTTTGGATGATACCTCAAATATTTTTAATTCCTAAAAATAACTGTCCTAAATGTATGAGCAGAAACATGTGAAAACAAACTACTGCAGTCTGAAATAATGTGATGAAAGCAAAGAATTTGGTTATATTTTATTTTGATGGTAAGTTGGTTGAAATTAAGTTACTATATGCCAACAAATTCTCATTAGATTATAAGTAGACTGTTAGGTTGGGTTTAGTGTAAGTTGACATATCCTAGCAAAGTTTCTTATAGTCAGTTTAAATGTCTGTTGAAGGAGCAGTATCAACAGATATAAAGCAGACAGTCTACTAATACTCAAATGGACCATCAAAATAAAGTGTTACCGAGCATTTTGTCTCATTGTTAATTAGACTAATTAGATCAGTCAGAAATTAACATGCAAAAATTGTACATGGTGTTCAACAGCTCGTCACAAGACATTATCATCAGAGATATCTTACCCTTAAAGAGTGGATATTTTTACCTATATGAATAGATTTCTAACTAAAAAGAAATATTGAAGAGAATAAAAGGTTTAAATTTAGCACATTGTTTAGAGCTTAACCATATTCTGCTCAAGCTTTCAATTTGAGAAGTAATATCATTTCAGAGCAGAAGCTAATTTTCTGGAAAGTTTACAAGCAAACTATTTCTTAACAATATATTTTTTTCACAACAAAACTAGCAATGTATGCATAGTAAATATGTCAAATTGAATTGTATCTGAATTGAGCACATATGAGAAACTAGTAAGACATAGCGTATTAAAAGAATACCAGTGTGCTTTAGCGACAAGCTAAAACTAAATATAGTACATAAGGTTGTAGTATATAAGTTTGGAATCTGAGAGTGATTTGATGATAGACATATTTTTGTGCCAAATTTAGCTTTTAACATGCAACAATGTATTAATAGCACAAGTTATGAGAAAGTATAAATGTATATACAACAGAATTGTGGCCACATTTGTTACCAGTACCCAGAGACAAAGTTCATTTGTTGAATTATGTATAACTGAATTGTTAGGGATTACTAAGGGTTAGTTTTAGGCAGTTAAAGTTAAAGGCAGGGTGAGTGTTAACTAGGAGTGTTAAAATGAAGAAAACCACTAGTCAACATAATATTTATTTTGAAATTTGCATCATGTTCTGCCAACTCTTTTCTTTAAATAACCAATATACTCAGAGTAAAGAGTTTAGTTAAGGTTCTATAGAATCTATTTAAAGGGTCACGAAACACCAAAACACACTTTTTAAGATGTTGACAGTCATATATGTGTCCCACACTGCTAAAAACACTATTAGGACACATATATTTCACAAAAAGGTGAAAATTTGTTGTGTTTGCATTATTTTACGCAAATTCATTCTTCCGGTTTTAAATGAAATTCAGACGCTATGTCACTGCGATTAGATACTTGTGTAAAATCCAGCGTAGAGACTGCCGGTCTCAGTGTGACGTCTTTGAGTTTTCATTATTAATTAATGAGAAAGACTTTTCAGCGAACGAATCAGCGCGCTTTATTGTGTATAAGGTGCAACTTCATTTATGTGCATGATAGCTTGGAAGAGTTTTACCTGTTATAGTGTTTAGACAGCAGAGAGACGTTGCCAACCATAATTAAAACAAGTGGAAGAAGAAGAAGAATTGTTGTTTGGAGACATGGGTCATCAGTATTGCGTTTATAATATTGCTGCAACAAAGGTTTTTTTCTCCCATATGTAGTGCGGTGTCTATCATTTCAATAAAACTACACTCTTCCAGCAATTCCTCTCATCCAATATCTTGTTTGTCACAGGGGCATGCATAAAATGTTCCTGAATTAAAGTAAAAAGTGCCAAACTACATTTAAAGTTGACAAATTTAAAATTTGGCAAATAATATGATCACTGTTGTCCATGTAAGCATAGTCACTGTCTTTCTCACATGTCTTGTTTTGCTTCTGTTAAAAATCAGCGCATGGTCAAACTGAAACTCCCTTTTTCACGCAAACCGTTTCCTCTTTCACCACTCAACACTCTCACCTAAACAAAGCTGGACTCACCCACGTTCCTGACTTTTTCTAACTAGAGGTTTCATGACCCTTCAAAGCCTGGTTTATATTTCTGTGTCAAGTGATCGGCGTGACCCACAGTGCATGCAATGCGCCTAGCTGTGCATTTATACTTCTGTTTGCCGTTTCTGTTGCTCTGCAATAACACTTCGGAAACACTAGCTGGCAGTAGGTTATGTTATGTTCCTCTGTGTTGAGTATCTTCGCTACATTTTGAGGCTGGAATCGGCGGATGTTCAACAACTTTAATCAAAAGGTAAACACAAAACAGTCTCTATCCAGAGCTCACACTTCTACTACACTTGCAGTATCGGGCTCACGCGGCTCTCACCTCAGCCCACACTCGTCAGCACTACCAAGTCGACCAATCAGAGAGCTTGTGCTACGCATCCTTGCAACGTGTAGCTAAATTTTTTGAGAGGTGCGCGTCAACGTCACAGACGGCCACGGTGAGGGCTTTACGTCCATGCGTAGGCTGCGCCGTAGCATACGCATGCGTTGACGCAGAAGTATAAATCAGCCTTAAGGCTTAGAGGCACAACAATTGAATAAAGTTCATAAATAAAATGACAATTGAGTCCTTAAGGATCTGATATAAATGTTCCAATGATTATGGCATGTTGAGAAACGATGCGAGAAGAAACTGAAGATGAACATTTAAAACAATTTAAACTTATTTAAAACATTTTTCCTTGGATATCAATCATACTTAAGTAGAATCAAGGAATTTCAAATACACTGATGGTGAAAGAACAGCAAAGAGTAAAAGACGACTTTAAAAAATTGAGTAACCCCATTGCCTTAAAATGACTAATTTAATAAAATATGCATATAATTATAAACAATCATAATTAGTTACAGCATGTTTACTCACTTCTAAAACAATTATCAACTTGTCCCTTTTTAAGGAAATGGGTTTATTCATTTTTTTAAGTAAATAATGTCTTTTTAGTGCAAGATTAAATATAAAAGATCTAAAATAAAAAAAAGAAATGAATGGAAAAGTGATCAGCTCAAATAAAATACTATCTAGAGGTGAAAAAAGTAAGAGATGAAAAAAGCAAGCAGACAAGAATGCAAGAGATCACAGAATGGGTTTATTTTCCACATTGGCAGATTGCACATATTTTTTGATTCGTTCTAAACAGTCATACTTTACTCACACACACACACACACACACACACACACGTGCGCACACGCGTTCACGCACACACAGACTCATACACTGACACACACAAGAAAGGGATCAGCCAGTGTTATAAGATACCAGCAGGAGGTTAAAAAGACAAGAAAATAGCGAAAACAAACACTGAACTTCTTTAGAAATAACAGAATGACATGCAGTCATCTTCTCTTAGATAAAATCTTCTAAAAATAGACTCGGCTCCGACTTTTACACAATCTACAAAAATCCCACCCTCCCCTTGTGTGCAGCTGCTATTCATCTACTATATCTTGTATTTATAAAGTTTTTTTTTTTTCGTTTTAGGCACATAAGAACTTGTGCAATATGACCACAACAAACACCACACACAAATATGGAGTGATACTTCTTGAAATGGGAGGAAGAGAGACTTTAAATACAGTCTGTAATGTGGTTTTGCCATGTAGAACATTCTCAAAATCTTCCTTGTGAGCGTTTCTGTCTCTCTTTAGATTTCAGTGAATGCACCTTCACTAATTAGCAATAGCAAGTGATAGCAATCTCTACCAGAATGGAAGAAAGCAGAAGCTGGATAAGAGCGTTAAAAGAGAGGAATGATGGCAGAGCACCTCTGGAATAGAGAAGCAGATGTGACTGACAGACAGACAAATAGGATTGGGTTAAATCCAGATGTGATGACAGGCTCTCATTGGCTGTTAGGATGGTGTCATGGCGTTGCTACACTAGGCTGGGCATGGTAGATGCAGTTGATATGGAGAGGCTAGACAAGAGCCTGGTTACCATTCTCTAGGTTTTCATTGCTTTCGTAGCAACCAGAGTCCCGTGGAGAGTCAGCCATGAGGCCATGGCCCTCACAGAGGAGCTTCTCCTGAGAGCCAGAGAGACCGCTGCGCTCTGGATCACTGCTGCCTACAACACACATACAAATTCAAGATTAGGAAATGCACACACTTGCTATTAGAACTGATTTTCAGCCATTGCTAAATGATGCACATGTTCCGGTTCCCCCATAGGTGAATTGGGTAAGCTAAATTATTCATTTTTATTTATGTGTGTAAACGAAAGTGTATGGGTGTTTCCCAGTGATGGGTTGCAGCTGAAAGGGCTAATGCGGTGTAAAACATATGCTGGATAAGCCGAAAAGAAAGTGAGTGAATAATATTTCTACGTAATATGTATGGACAGATAATAGTTTAAAAGACAAAACCTGTATTTGTTTCGATCAAAAATTATTGATCCAAATGAATAAATTGGGCGACACAACAGCGCAGTGGGTATTGCTGTTGCCTCATAGCAAGAGGGTTGGTGGTTCGAGCCCCGGCTGGGTCAGTTGGCATTTCTGCGTCTCAATTTCTGTTGGCATTTCCTGGTCCTCCAGGTTGGGGGTTGAGCATTGTGCTAAAAACTCGCCTCATAAATCTAGATGTTACGAAATACCAATAGAGTGCGGCTAAATATTAACTTTGATATAAATAGCCCTGGGAGTAAATAAATAAGTATAATAATTCTATTAGCTCTAAAGGGCCATGTGACACTCAGGTTTAAAGTAATGGCTACTAAAAATTAAGCGATGTCTTCTTATCATTCCAAAATATTCTAGTATTATAGATTTTTATAAATAAATAAATATCAAGTATTAAATATTAAATATAAAGATGACAGTATACATAATAATTGACTAGTTAATTTGCAAGATAATAGTATACAGTCTGAAGTGCAATTTAAGATGTAATTAGGTATGTTATTGGATAACAGTGGTTTGTGAAAAAATATTTTAGGAAATACTGATAAAATGTCTTATAAACTGCACTTGGGAAGTATATGAAAAAGAATGACAATTTCACAGGAGGTCACATCATTTTGACTTCAACTGTTTCTTTTTTTTCCCTTTGTGTACTCACTGTCATAATCCTGAAGCAGTTCAACAGCTGTCATCAGTACGGCTCGGTGTTGTGGGTCTTTGATGTTGAGCTCATCCAGATCTTCTTCCTCTAGTAACTTAAACGTGTCCAGATCTTCATACCCGTTAAACAGAAACGTTGGCATGTGCTCCTAAAACACACACACATGTATTCACAGGTTACACACACCATAGAACAGAGAGCACCATGAAGGACCCTTACAACTAAAAGCAGCCCACTCCACCCTGGCAGCTCATCCAGGGCACGATTTATGCATGGGAATGTTTCCAGATTTCAGACTCTTTTCTGACAACCAACCAACTATCATTATAGTTCATTAACACACTAAAACAACACAACAGGGCTTCAAAATGTGTGTCCATTGTGTGTAACCATAAGCTCTGTCATGTGATGGAATAATGCAGGAGACTGTGGGAGGTCTGAAGGGTGTGTATGTCTCTTGTGTTTAAATAAAAATTTTAACTGGCATGGGGAAATGACCTCTTCCCACATTCTCATAGTTAATGTGCGCTTTAACAGGAGCTCACCATCTTTTCACACTAGCAGACGCTTTTTCATTTTCTCATCACTCTCCGCCCTGCTCTTACATTCAGACAGTAGAGATTAAAGATGAGACGCACATTCAGATGATTACAGATACACTGACTCAAGTTTGAATCTTAGGGCATTGCTTGCGATATAACATTTCCTTAAAGAAGGACGATTATTATTATTGTACTTTTTCTTATTTCATTTAACAATCACATCAGGTTAAATGCAAAACATTTCAGTTTTAAAACATTATGATTGAATGAAATACTTAGCATATATTCTGATTGTTATTCGCTGTTGTCATTTTTTCATGCTTGTTTCTACTCCTGCCATTAATGTTTATTTTCAACTCCCTACTCTGAGACATTTGGTTCCCCTTTTGGCCCGGTCTTGCCAATAACAAGATAAAGAGAGTATGGACCCATCTGACTGGTCAAACTTGGATAACTAACCTATGCATGTAACACAAAATGCTTGGGAAAAACTTAATATACAGTTAGGTCCATAAATATTTAGACATTGACACAATTCTAACATTTTTGGCTCTATACACAAACACAATGGATTTGAAATGGAGACTGTCAGCTTTAATTTGAGACTATTTACAACCAAATCAGATGAACGCTGTAGAAATTACAACAGTTTGCATTTGTGCCTCCCACTTGTTAAGGGTCCAAAAGTAATTGGACAATTGGCTTCTAAGCTGTTTCATGGTCAGGCGTGTGTTATTTCCTCATTATCCCAATTACAATTAGCAGATAAAAGGTCCAGAGTTCATTTCAAGTGTGCTATCTGCATTTGGAATCTGTTGCTCTCAACTCTCAAGATGAGATCTAAAGAGCAGTCACTATTAGTCAAACAAGCCATTATTAGGCTGAAAAAACAAAACAAACCCATCAGGGAGATAGCAAAAACATCAGGCCTGGCCAAAAGAACTGTTTGGAACATTCTTAAAAAGAAAGAACGCACCAGTGAGCTTTATATAGATATTACATTTACTATATGATTTTCCCATTGTGCAGCCCTACTTTGTTTGTGGTATGTGTTTCACCTTCAGGTTGATTCTCTCCAGAAGCTCCTCGACTGAGCTGGGTTTGGGTGGTCGGCCCTTCTTCCTCCTGCGAACAGCTCGTTTGGGCTTCTCCTCTTCTTCTGCCAGAACATCCACATAGATGAACTTAAACGTGCCCACTTTGTTATTGAGCAGACCCATCCATGTGCCCATGGGCGGCTTACTGATGATGTCAATCACATCTCCTCTCTTCAGAAAAAAAGAGAAATTTTGTTAGATAGTTGAAAATCTAAAAAAATAAATAAATTAAACTGTATAGAGTGTAGAGAGAACTTAAATACAAATATAAAAAAAACAGTTAATAATAAGGATTTTTTTTTAAAACTTATGAATATTTAAAAATGTGAAATAATGACATTTCAATAAAGCACACCTTTTATCAAAATATACGGCATGGTATTTATAGCATGTATTATATAATTTTACCTTCTCAAAAAAGACTTACACATATTTAAAAAAAAAAAAAAAAATCAAATAAAAAGCTACACAGACACCCACACACATAAGGTTCCTCTTGGGAACTCCAATACTTCTCTCAAATGTCTATTAGGCACAGAGATGTATAAAGTACTAGAGACCCATACTTAAGTAAAAGTACAAGTGCTTTATCAAAAATTGACTTGAGTAGAAGTAGAAGTGCTGTTTAAGCACCATACTTAAGTGGAAGTACAAAAGTATTCAACATTTTTTGTACTTAAGTATTACAAGTAGTTTATTTCAAAATTTACTACTCAAGTACTGAAAGTAAAAGTACAAGTATTGTGTAATGTAGTTATTAAAGAAAGCAGTCAAAATACACTAATTGTTTTGTTTATTTTAAATATCTTTTTGGGGCACTTGATTAAGCAGAACGAAAAGAAACATGGCTTATGATACTGTTTTTCTCTGTAAATAGTTTCTATGGTACAAGAGCTCAAATCGTCAGGCCCTTTTACCAAAAAATGCCTTCACTGATGAGATAATTCAGCATGTTCACTCACATACATACTCTCTCTCACACACACACACTGCCCTGCACACACCTAAATGTACACTCTCTCCCCACTCTCACACATTCATACACTCTCACACACACAGTTCTCTCTCTATCTCTCTCTCTCTCTCTCTCTCTCTCTCTCTCTCACACACACACACATTTTTGTGAATTGTGGGGACATTACATAGGTTGCAATTGTTTTTACACTCTCTCTTACACACACACACACACACGCACACACACACACACACACACACACACACACACAGACGCACACACAGGTACAATCACACTGTTGTTTTCTCTTACGCATTATTCACTCTCACTCACACACACACACACACACACACACACACACACACACACACACACACACACACACACACACACACACACACACACACACACACACACACACACACACACACACACACACTCACACTTTGGGAGTTTTAAAGTTTGATTGCTTTAAAATAAAAAGCTTTAAACTAAACAAGCAAACTAAGTCCTGCTTCACAAATTCACTTGATTTTGATTTTACTGTAAAAAAAAAAAAAACAGGAAAATGTGTATATTACTGTGTTAAATGAAAATCTGAAATATTTTATGGCTTATGGCTATGATTTAGTAATATTTTTTATTTATTTTTATTATGTTTTTAATGAAATTGGTCTTACAGTTCATATTTTCTGTAGTATATTTATTAATTCTGGTACTTTTACCATAAACCAACATCTCAACCATTTAGTAGAGGCTGATATTTTAGAAATAATGTGATGTGTTGAATAAAAATGCACGGATTGTGTTAACTAGCGACATTTGGAGTTAAGAAATGCAATCAAAAAATAAATTCTATTGCTTTTGTCTTGGTGTGACAGTTAAAGGGGTTTTTGTAATAAAATTTTGTCCTTTAATACAGCAGTCAGATATACGAACTGTGCCCTTAATTTGACCTGCTCAAAGAAAACACTCTTTCTGGATGTATCAAACAAAACTCATGCACAGAAGACAGCACGAGCATTTACAGCTAATAAACTCATGTCAATATTATCCCGCCTGCTTTTTGAGCGATGACAGGCGGGTCTTACACGGCTATGATTGGTTATTGTCCTCAACAGAAAGGGCTTTAGAAATATAAGCGCTGTTCACCCATGGCGGGAAGAATACGCGATTATCACAGGTAATAGACACAGTGAAGAAAACTTGGCACGCTCATGTCTGGATCCACAGCTTTAACAGCTAAGAAGAGAGGAAAAGTTACCTTACAAACTGGCCAGCGGGTCAAATGTCCAAAGTGAGAGAGCGAGAGATAGGCAGAGGTGAAGTTTTACAACATTTCTCCCTAATAGTACACTAGCGGCTGGTATGCTGTGCCGCCTCGCTCTCGCGCCTCCGTACTTAGCTATAGTATTGCGACATCGCGCATAGGAGATAAATGACGTCATCACGTAATAACCGGGTATGACCTATTACTGAACTGATATCGATCATTTTGACACCCCTAGTAACGAGTAACGATGCAGCACATAAAAAATCTATCGGAGTAAAAGTATTAAACTCATGTAAAATATGTACTTAAGTAAAAGTGGAAGTAGGAGAAAAAAATAATACTCCAGTAAAGTACAGATACTGCCTTTTAGTACTTAAGTACAGTAGTGAAGTAGTTCTACTTCGTTACTATACATCTCTGATTAGGCAAAAGGTCATTCATTTTTTGGCAATGTTCATGTTTTGGCAACAAAAAAAAGAAAAAGTGTTTTAGCATTTTTCGCACAGACCGATTGGTGCGATTTTGTATTCACAGTGATATTAACCATTATAGGGGTGGTCAAATGTATATTTATATAATCTGTTATTTTAATCACTAACATTATAATTTAAAATACAGATCAGCGTGAACTATTTCTCACTATTAAAGGGCTAACCCCCCATACACCTTGATTTGACGTCCTTCAGGGGAAATTTAGCGTTAATTAGGGGGGTCAATCCCCCCTAAACCCCCTGTAATTCGCACCCTGGATAAAATGATTGCCTTTATGTTGTTTGTTGCTGTTTTGTTTTACAATTACAAAGGTGTGTTCCTATGAATATAAGTTTGTTTTCATCAATATGCTGTGATTGTATAATGTAATGTAATGTAAATTGTATATGTATGATTTTTTTGTGTGATTCTGGACCAAAAATAACAATGCTTCAAGATGTATGTTATTTCTTACCATTGATTTGATATTTACATTTTTTTAAGTTGCCATTGTTAACAAACCAACATGTAAAGGGCTAATTAATTATGTTAATTTGGTTAATTAATGTTTGCCAATGATCATCAGGACTAATTCTGGTAAAAGAATATATGTTAAAGTATATAAAAATATAATGTTTACATGATTTTTGACACCAACATTTTTGTCCTCTATAGATCCATGTGCGACTTTTTTCCACAAATACACAAGGGTTGTTTATTATCTAAGTAGCCAGTCAATTTTATTCTTAATCACTATAGGTAGAAAGGGTCTACAATTAAAACTAAGATTAAATGAGTATTAAACATAGATTTAGTTTAGTTCAGAACCTTGAGCTTGAGAGAATCTGTATCATATGGACTGGGTGTGAAGTCAGTGTGAACTCTTGCTCTGCCACAGAACGGGCCTCTGTATGGAGGCTCTTCATCATCACCATCCTCACTCCTCACACTCTCTCTGTTACTGGCTGATGAGTCTGTGGTGCTCACCGTCTGCCCACCTGAAAGAAGACCAGATCCAAAGGTTAAATTGCTGCTCTCTTTCACCAGGCTGCTCAGAAAAACATCTGATCTGTGGCCTTATTCATGTCCATTCAAGTCCACTGATTACATTACTTGGTCACATTTTACATTGTTTCAACAAAAAAGAAAGGCGTTTAGTTTAGTTGAAGAAGTTTGGATGCTATAATTACACACTTCTTGTGCTCTATGGAGCAGAGCAGACAAGCAGATTTCACTTCTGCAACATGACCAAGGCAGAAATCTAGAGATGCATCGATATCTAACTGACTCCATTCTCAGCAAAATTAAATCCAAGTTGGAAACAAACTCCTCTCTCTGACCACAATGGTTTGCATAGGAAGTGGCACTGAATTAAAAAAGTAGATCTTAAGTTTTGTCATGAAGGAGTTCCTGGTGCCATTTTGACTAATATTCCCAATTATACAATCTACCCAATGAGCTACTAACTATCAACATTACAAATGATAAAAAATAAATAATAAAAATCACATTCATGGAGAAATAATGATTTTATTTAGGCCAGCAGATGGCACTGTTCTGGAAATTTTGTAAGTTTTGTTGTAAAATATCATTCATAAAAACCTTTTTCTGCTTTAAATCTTAAGTTTTGAACTCAGGAAGGACACCATAATTGCTAAACGAAGCAGGATGTATTCTTTTCGTGTTTTTTGTGTTTTGTTCAACAAAACTACACGTGAACAGATCTTCAATTCAGTTCATCTTTATTTCTATGGCACTTTCATAATGTAGCGCTTTTACTAAAAGTAGTAAAGCACTTACAGAATGACTGGACAACACCATTGACTTACATTCCAAGTCACCACTTACTTTTCCATAGTATGTTTTTCTTATGCTAATCCATATCATTTTTCAAAAAGTTTTGTAAATGATGACAGTTTTAATTCTGGAAGTGAACTACTGCTTTAAATGATTGCAAATGGGCAAATTTTTCAAAAATAAAACCTTTAAGATGTATTTAAACTTCCGCACGATGTTAAGATGACAGCAAGTATGAGCAATAGCATGGTTTCTATAAAGACCACACACGCACACACACACACACACTTACTCATGGAGCTTTGGCCACTGAGAGAGCTGCGCAGACTCTCCACAGACCCTCCTGCCTTGAGCTTGGGCTTCTCTAGAGAATCTGTGTCTGGTTGAGGAGACTGAGGACAACTGGGAGTCCCATCTGGACTGGACTGTACAGATTAAAATGAGAGAAAGTGTATTACAATTATTATTATTAGATAAATTGTAAAACAACTGACAGTAGGTAAGTGCTTAAGGCAACAGCTGCATCACAGCTGTGAGATCATTCTTTTGTGGAGCAAAGCAATAAGTTGTTTGCAGACTATTGCCACTAGATGGCCCTACAACATAATATACGAGTCCATGGAGCAAGTCATGAAGAACTAATCTGTTGGCACATCAAGTAGTAATTGCATAAACACATAACACACAGATCTATACAAACAGATAATATATAAATCATGTGAATGTTTCCACAGAAACAGCATTTTGGCACATTATTAGTGTCACAAATTTCCTCCAGCATGTGAATCTGGGCCTTGTGTGTTTATCCATCATAGCCAGGGAGCTTGGGTGTGTTAAATTGGACTGAGTTTGTTTTCAAGCTCCTGGCTACATAAAGAGATGTTTGACCCTAGTTTGAAACACAGAAAGTGGGGCACACGTGTGCAACTTTCCTCTGGAGTAAAGGCAGGGTCTTACCTTTGAAAAAGAATGATATACAGCACATAAAGCAGAGCAGTCAAAGCAAGCAGCATCTGTTTGTGTGTGTGTACCTGTTCAGAGAGAGACCCGACATATTTCTTGGACATGCGTTTCCTCATAGTCTCTTTGACAGACTTGACTTTCTTTCCTAGAGAGATACGGGATGTGGTGGGAGATTTCACGCCATCCCTGTACAGAGCCTCCTGCTCCTAAAGTCAGAAAGAAACAGAGTAAGAAAGAGAGTGATTAAGCCCACTGAGAGCCAACTGATTAACACAATTGGATGACAAACACTGCAGCTGCATGTGAGAGCAGAGACAGAAAGGAAGCGAGAGAGAGAGAGTACTCACGCTAGGCTCTGCTGTGTTGACCACATGGAGGGAACGATTAGATAGGTCAAATCCTCCAAAGCTACATGTTCTCTGCAGAAAAAGAGACATAATTACAATGAATTCACATTCAAATGAATATATTGCTAGAGAGTCATCTAAAATGTTTCACAAAGAGTCACAGCGTTTCATGCTTGTCTTTATAATGGAAAGCACACATTTTTAAAATGACAAACTGCCAAAAGAAATAGCTCATGATATGACCTGATTTCCTATTTAACACCAAATTAAATCTTGCTGTCTAACATTACATAAATAAACCAACGCTTTCTTGTAAAACCTTGAACAAAACCCTCAAATTTATGTTGAATAAATAATGGAAAACAGAAAAAAATTAAAAATGTGAACTAATTTTACAGCAATATAAATGTTTAATGCTCAAATACGAGGGATATATTCAATTGAAATAGATTAGCTTTTTACTTCATGCCGTTTGGTTAAAGTTCCACAAAAGTTGCAGAATCAAAAATGTCCCGTTGTCAACAAAATTATAAGTTCTTGAATGTTTCATGGAATAACACCATGCATTTTCAAAATAAGACAAAAAAGCTCAGTAAAATAGAATAGCACATCCAAAAAAAAAAAAAAAAAAAACAATTCAGAAAATGTCAGCATTCATGCCCAAAGCCGAAAGAGGCATATTCAACCCAAAAATGGATGAAAGAGTTCACTGATGAAGATCACGGTCATGTTCACATTCACTATGAATGATGGTGAGAATCCGCAGACGGCAGACTCTACAAAGCTGCAGAAGGAACTCTACAGTACTGGTTTCTGCTTTCACTGCTCTCCACTGTCTCTCAAGGACTGTGAGTTTCAATTATGCTCCGACACACATGACTGATTACAAGACAAGAGGTCAAGAAATGAAAGGAGAGAAGCTCAGTATGAGGAAAGGCAAGACTCTCTGTATTATCGCATTCTATTTCACTTCTATAGCTTTTGAGATGATGAAATATTGGCTTCATATTGCAGTAATGCGAGTCTATAGAAAAAAGCTGAGATCACAGCTAACTAACAATCTCAGGGATTTCTAGCTTTAATTATCAACTCAGCAAGAAGATAAAAACATTTTACGATAACACAGTCCATTACTTAAACAATTAGACTGTCTTGAAATATAACTGTCTCTAAACTGTACCCTACTGTGCTTTTCTTCTGCAGCTTTGCAGTAGCCTGTTCCTCCAGTGCAGCAGGGGGCACTGTAGATCTGCTCTTCCGGCACACTCACAGACTTTTGTTGGATGCGCAAGAGCACACGCTTGGTGCAGCGGTCCATGCTAGATGCCCATTTCCTGTTGGCATCTCTTTCATCCTCCAGGAGCCAACGTCTGTCCGCTTTGCTCAATGTGATTGGCCTGACCAGCCCAGTCCAGTTCAAATGTCCGTACAGGCTGCGTTCCACCACATATGTGATGTTGAGCTCACTAACTGCCGTCCTTCCTTTGAGACGCCTTGGTGGAAACAGCCAGCTGCCCACTACCCCGCTCCCACAACTCTTCCCCTTCTCCTTGGCTAGCGGAAGCTCGCGAGTGGGAGGAGACGCAGGTAGGGTGGAGGAGGGTGCGGTTTTCGGAGCGTTGCAGGAACGTTGGTAAAGCAGGTGTTTGGTAGAGTATGCATAGTTCGGGTCAGGCTTATTTCGCTGCCACATGGAAACAGGTGGCCGCTTGGTGTTGTTGATGTCATCTAAAGACACCAGGAGGGGGTGTGGCTTTGGGCGGGGCCTAGTGAGGCCATAAAAAGCGTAAACGCTATCAGTACTTACCCCATGAGATAGAGATGACAAGGCCTTCCGCATCTCTCCGTCTGTAACCGAGCGGGAGACTTTAGCATTGTCGTCTCCCAAACCGTCCAATTCAGAAAACGAGGAGCCACTGCCCCCCGCTACACCCAGCCCAGACCCAGCACTGCTCTTGCGTGCTGGCCGGATCAGGCCATGGGGATGTGTGCTGGGAGCCTTGACTAATTTGTGAGCAGGTTTCCAGGCATCAAGGCTGCTGGTGGAGGGCGAGGTGTTCAGGCTGTCCGTGTCCCCGTCCAGAGAAAGCTGCTCTTGGGCAAGTGAGGACAAAGAGGAGTCTGTACACTTTGCCGGCTTCTTGTGGATTTCTGCATATAGTGCATTTATATCGTCGCATATGGGAGCTGCATCCAGACTGAGTGAATCTGCAAGAAAAAGAAGATTAAAACTAAAACAGGACAAATTTAAACTCTAAATCATTAGAACATTTTACTAGAAAATGTATTTGATGCACAGAAAGTACAAAACTGATTTATCTGAAAGAGAAACTGAATTAGAAATCTTTTCCTTCAACTTTGGTATTTATTGCGTCCTTCCAGAAAAATACTTAAATCTATGTACTAAAGTATTAAATATAATACTTAATAATGTTTTTAAAAATCCCAAAGATGCCTAATTCAGTATAAAACACTCATCAGTTTATCAATCAAATACATATTAATGCCAGATGGACAATAGTTTTTCCAGATACCTTGTGAGCCATGTCTCTTGCTATCATCCACTTTGATGAGTTTCTTGCGGACACGTCGAGTGGAGTTCACCAGCTTGTGAAGCCTTTTGAATTTCACAGAGTCCTCCTGCTCATCATCTGACTGCTCCACAGACTAAAGAGGAACAAAAAACTCTACTTCAGTATTATATCATCTTCTGGGAAGAAAAAAAGGGGTAACATTCACATGTAGACATACACAAAAACAAAAGATGATGGTTTCAATGGGTACAGATAATGACATGTTTAGGATGCTTTTGACATGAGGGACATGACTTAGGAAAACATTGCAGAATGGAGTTAAGTGTTATGAAGTTGAGTCCAAGAAACACACAAGTCTTGCATTTTTACATGACAAATGAACATGAGTGAACATTTGTGGTAGAAAAAAAAACCTCTTCAAATTTTAAATGAATAACACAGATAGGGGTTTACCGTTGAGATGATTTATGATTGGATCATGTTCTTAAACAAACATCTACCATAACCTGATCTTCCATTTAACACAGTAAAAGATTGATTATAATACTGAAACCTCTAATCCACAAAGACAAAGCCTCTTTAATCCTTTTTACTTTCTCAAACTTGCAAATTTCACTTTTTAAAGGAGTCAATCCACTAAAAATAACATTCTGTTCACAGCAAAAGTACACCACGTTATAAGATAATGACATGTAGTTGTGATCAACAGGATAGATTCTATGCTAACCACAGACCAACTGAAGAGATTAAGCTGTTTTGACCAGTATCATGAATGGCAAATCTATCTGCTCATCCCAGCACACCACAGACCTAAGCGTTTCATCAAGACATTGAGGCTGAATGTGATCTGTTACTGGAAACCTAAAGCTCAACCACAGACACAGAATCTCATTGGCTCACAATAAATAATATTAATCATAAGCCACAATGGCCACCAGTCAAAAAGAAAGTGGAAATATAATGATGGTTGAGAAATCATGACTCAACGAGAACCAATTCAGAGAAACAGAACAGAAAACATTTCAATAATCACCAATATGAAGAAAATGTTGTTCGATGGATAGAAGCTTGTTTTCTGCTTCTCAAATTCAGTCTTCATCAAGGTAACAAAATCACTTTTCAAACAAGAGCAAAGGAGAAAAGAAAGAGAGAGAACAGAAATAGAAATGTGTCCAGCTGTGTTCCTACCAGCAGTTGTTTCCTTTAGGTTGGATGTTAGCTGCTCATGCTAAAAAAACACCATCTCACACCGAGATCAACAAACTGTAAACAGTTTTTTGAAGGAAACCCTGGAAATATCTGGAGGCAGGGGAGGGACTGGGGCACAAGGCGTGAGTTTGGGTGTCCGGAAACACTGCGAGGTCTGCCATATGACCTCTGGACATCCTTAATGGTCTTCAGTGGAGAGAAGGAATGTGGGCCAAAGAGAAGAAAGGCTGGTCTTGGTGCAGTCCACACATATTGGGATACAGAACTTCTTCTGTGATAGCAGCTGCTGACACTGATCCCACATCAGTTCACTCTGGCGGAGCTGTGATGGGTCGCTCTACTGACTGCAGCTGACACTGATCTCATGACAGGGGAATCTGCCAGCCCTCAGTGTTCTGATTACCGTTAAACTGAGCTCAGATCAGCGGGATTCCCGGAGAGAGTTGTGCCCGTCGGTCAAAACGTTAAGCAGACGACGACTGACCCATTTTCATTTATAAATAGGAGATCATCAACCCAGGGGCCAAGAATCCTACAGAGATCCATTTTCTCATTCAGATGCTGAGATTCAATTTGCACATGCTGATGTGTGGCAGAGACAGGCAGGAGGAAATGTGTGCGAGTGTGTTTGTGCGTTTCAGAAAACGCCTCAAGGGCTCAGAAATACAGAGCCTTTGTATGAATAAGACTTTTTTTGGTTTTTGCCTCATTTCCTCTTATTTAGCAAACGAGTAAAACAGCACAATGGGAGAATCTCATGAACAAATGTTTTACCACAATAAAATATTTTCTCCCAAAAAAGATTTAGCATTTTTCAGTAAAATAAAATGCTTTTAACCGTTTTTATCACAATCAGATTTACCTCAAAAATCTTCATCAATTAAATATAAAATATTTTAATTCATGAATAAAATGTAAAATAAAAAGTAAACATTGCTGATGATATTAATTATAAAGTTTTAAAAACAAACTTACTACAGATTAAAACAAATAATACAGAGCAAAAAGCAAGATATAAGAAATTGAAAATATACATAAATCCCTGTATTTAGTCTTTATAATAATAAAAATAAATTGATTATTAACAATGTTATAACAGTTGTTCGGTCAAGATCAGCAAGTTATTCCCCTTTCTCTTTTAAATTGAGATAATTTTTACATTCTTTTTTTATATTTGTTTGTATAAAAGACTATAAAAATTAATTGAACTTAACAATATGCACGATATACAGTTCTGGAAACAATAAAGACTCATGATTACACATGACACAAAATATGTATTTTAAAAATATATATTTTTTACCTATTTCGAAGGCAGTATTTTTAATAGCCAAGAAAAAAACTAACAAACTAACGACATCAGTAATTAACATTCAGTATAAACTCATTATCAGAAATACAGCTCAAAACAGATCTTGAGTTTCCTCTGTTGTGACCCTTTTGCATATGAAGTGACACTGACCACACAAACAAGCAGATGCAGAAAGTGTCGCAGCGGGACGGTCAGTGACTCCTCTGAGCCAACACAAAGATTTGCTGGGCGGAGTGAGTCATTCTGTAGCTGCAAGCGCTGAGCAAAGCAGTGCTGTGGTTTGTTAACATCAGAAAGCATTGCAAAAACAGCTTAGCTGCTGACCATTAGACCAAAAGGTGTATGTTTACTTGCAGAGGCTGGAACCCTGCTCATATTTTCCATAATAACTATGTGTATTTGTGTACTGGCAGCTTATTTCTCCAAAAGGGGAAAACTAAATCCACTAAACCTACAGTATCAAGGCTTTAACCAACAACACATACGCACATATTGTACATACAAAGCATACCCTTATAATTGAACTACAGCCAAAGCAATGTGCCATTTCAAACTGAACCGATTTCAATGGTTTGTTAGTTTCAAAGCAGAAAAAATGCCAAGAGGCAGAAATGGCCACATATCACCCTTCACTAAGACTCACATTATGACTTAATCACCAGGGGATGTTTACTGTGCCAGTTCCCCATGCCAAGAAGAAACGACATCATAACTAGAGGGTCTTACAGTAAGACAGCAGTGCCAGATGCTCATTACCACTGTAAAATTACATCAGCGTCTCCATATCAACTCACAACCTATTAGCTTTTAAATGATGTACTTCAAAATATGGTGTAAGATGCCCTCAGTACATTTAAAACATTTTACATAAACATAATATTGCAAATATTTGTTAAAAACCATAGAAGCGACCTAATAAAAGCCATGTTTATGGGATAGTTCACCTAAAAATGAAACTTGCTCGCATTTACTCACACTTCAGTTGTTATTTTGAAGAATGAATGTTGGAAACCAGCAGCCATTGACAATTACTGGTTTCCAACACTTAACAGAAGAAAGAAACTCAAAGGCTGGATAGTCAAATGATGATAACGTTCATTATTTGGGTAAACAGCTTAGTAAAACTCATGGCGTTTATATTTATTCTCATTTATATATTTTTATTAATAAATTCAGATTTTTGATCAAATATAAATGCAAAAGAATTAGCCCAATCAACATTAAAAACCACCCCGAGTGCTCATTTAATCTATGATAACTTCAAAGCATCCTAACATTCATGATTTCTGAAGTTTATAACAAATAAAAGCGCATATTCAGTGCAGTTATTGTAGGAAAGGGGATGAACTGGGTTGACGTAAGGACTGCCACTGCCTAAGTTTATAAGCCACAATGTCACTAGTGTGGTCTGTTGAGATTTAACCTCCCTGCAGTGCGCACACACACACACACACACAACATCAGTCAGTACAGTGAGAGACATTACTAACTCTCACTGCCGGAGGAAAAGAAACTTTGATGTGACTGAATGAGGTTATGTTGTAAACACATGGGCCTGTATACACTCAGTCTGGGTGGTTTGGTATAGTACTTACATTGCAGGTGGAGGAGAGGTTAACAGTGGGACTGGATCCATCAGTCCACTCTGCTGTGTCTGTACTGCTGCTCAACTGCCTGTTCCTCTCATATTCCTTTAACTATGGAGAACAAGAGGTCAAAGAGAGCCGCCCCCTCGCCCTCACACACACACACACCCCTATCGGTTACAGAAATACAGTGAGAGAACACACTATACAAACACGTACAGACACACAGACAGCTCTCACCCATCACCAACAAAAACACAAAAGAACACACATACATGAAGTGTCAAGTCCATTTAAACAGTTTTGGTTTTATTTATTAAATGCATTATTCATTTGTGTTTATAAAAGGTATCACAATTTTGGGTCAGTGTTTTTTTTTAAATTAATTTATACTTTTATATAGTATATACACTTAAAAAGTGTTTATTCTGCTTTTTCAAACTACTTATTTAAAATGAGCTGAATCAACAAAATTCCTGAGTTTTTTGGGGGGACAACTTAATTGATTTGTGTTGAATTGTGTGGAACCCTGCATTTTTACAGCCCAAAGTAGGGTCCGCGGGCCAAATTTGTAACCTTTGATTTGGCCTACCATCACATCTGAGAGCAGAGTGAGAATGATGTGCCTTTAACACATCATCATTTCTAATTTAACATTCTTTTGTTTGTTTGTAATATATTGCTGAGCTACAAAAAAGCAAAGTGAAATGAAATGTTTTAATTAAATATTGTAACAAAATATGATTTGTAAAAATATAAATACAGTCACTCGATGGAGAGAGAATTATGCAGAACGCATTGGCGACCAAATCAAGACAAAAACTAGTGTAATTCTGTTATAAATTAGATTGTTTTTACAGGTTTATTATAAAATGTAAAAAAATATATACTTATATAAAGCAATGTTTTCTAGTAATTTCTTTAAAACATTATTAAATAAATTAGGAAATCACCCATAGCAACTATTATTTACCTTTGGCCCACTAGCCTCAATAAAGTTTGGTTTTTGGCCCTTTGTAAAAAAAAAGTTTGGGCACTCCTGCTTCAAAGTGAGTGTGACAAAAAGTCTTTTATAATTAAAAGCATTAAAGAAAACTGGAAATACATATTTATCATGATTTCCACAACAATACAACAGCAGCAGAACTATTTTTATTGTTTATAAGAATAGATGTGTTTATTGATCGATGAGCACAAAAGGATTTATTGATGATTGGGCGACACAGAAGAACCACCAAAGAATTTAAATAATCTTTAAAATACAAATAGTTTTTTTTATTTTTTATTTTAATAATATTTCAAATTCTTGTATGTTTAACTGTGTTTTACATTCTTTTGAAAATTACTGACCACAAACATCACTTAAAGCATCTATTTGTTTGCATGTACATTTAATTAAATGTTACAAGTTTTATATTTATACAACCTATCCGTCTATTTATAATCTAATGAGATTAGTTGGCATGTAGATGTAATGTACCTTAAATTCAACAAACAGACCATCAAAATAAGGTGTGACCAAAAATAATAATAAAGTGCATGACACCTGTGGACTTAAACACACGCAGAGAAATACACAACAAAAAGAACAGAGAACATGTAAAGAACATGAAAGACACATTTGCATTCCAACAAGCACACACAAGGACAGACACATAATCATGCATGCTTACGGCATGTATGATGTCAACTATCCACAAAGGCTTGTGATTGATTCATTGATTCAAACTTGAGGTCCAGTCAATCGATACTTCTAAATCAACTACCAGCCCAAAGAAAAAGAAAAAAAACTGAAGCAGAGAGAATTTAAATAAAGAAAACCCAGTTGGTTAAAGGAATCAACGTCAGCCTTGTGGAGAGAAGGAAGCCATATTCTACAATTATCAGATGATAATTAATCATGATCCCAAAACACAAATGACAAAGAGACCTACAGTAACACAACACATCTGAACAAAGAAAACGGATAGAAGAGATCCATCCAACCACTCCCAGCTAGCCCTACTTCAGAAATTAATCACCAAAGACCCTCCTTCATCTCAACAAAACATGACTTGCTCTAGGTACTACAACTGCAGCCCTCAGATGCGGGTCAGTACACATGGGTTTGTATTTGTATGTGTGTGAGTGTATGTAAGCGGGTGTGTGTTTGGAGGAAGAAGCAGGGCGGCATCAGTCTGGGTAAGTAGGGTTAGTACACATGAATGTAAGCCAGGGAAGCTGTGTTACTGTTCAGCGCGTTTACCCGTGACAGAGCTTCCTCTACAGTGATCATCTTCTCTTTCACCATCATCATAAGCTGGATTCGCTCTTCATCACTCATTGTGATCTCACTGGCCACATAGCCAATGTCTTCTCCTGCAGGTTCGAAAAGAAAACAAGGCAAAAAATGTAAAAATAAAGCGTACAATCAGAGATAAAATACAGAATAGAAAGATCGTTCGCATTAAATCATTTAAATCACAGGCTGAATTAACAAACATTTATTCTAGATTTGAAATGGAGATGTTTAAATAAAAAAAATAGATTGCAGTAATGAACATGCACGAAATTGTTATTGCGAGAGCTTCACATCTACAGTATATTGAACAGTCATTTATTAATTTAAGGGATAGTTCACACAAAAGTGAAAATTTCCTCTTTTATTTAGTCACAGTCAGTTGGTTCTGAACTTTAATAAATATCTTTTTTCCGTTGAACACAAAGCAAAACATTCTGTTGGGAAAAAGCAGCCACTGAAATCCAAAATATAAACAAAGATACTCAGATACTTTTTTCTCAACATTCTTCAGAAGAAAAACACTCAAACAGGTTTTGAACAAGTCGAGGATGAGTAAACTATGCAATCATTTTCATTTTTGGGTGAACTATCCCATTGGACCAGGGGTTCCCAAACTTTTTAGCCCACGACCCCGAAAAAAGTAAAATTCCAGTGACTCACGACCCCCACCATTTTCAGAGGTGGTTACAAACATACAAATGATGAATGCAACAGCTCACACACACCAACAGGGTTATATAAACATGAGTATATTGACAAAAAAAGTGCAACAGTCTAACAACTATATAACTTTTTATAGACATTGATTTATTTGTTTAATTATTAACCTTGTCTAATGAGACTGGTGGGCACAGTGTTTACAGCACAAGTCTATTCTTGGTTTAAGTTTGGAGATTAACATCTTAGACCATCCTCCAGTCCATGGTTTAGGCTGGTGCAGTAAAATCAGTCTGCTGCAAATGACACTGTTGCTTTAAGGATAATCTAATGTAAACCCCCAGGAGTCGCAATCCAGTGTAAAAACAATTGAAAATGTGTGCCTTTTTATTTTTATGTTTTTTTAATGTAACTATTTTTATCTTCTGAAGGTTATGGATAAAATATAGTAATTTTAATCGTTTATTAAAATAGTTCAATAAAACTGACTTGATCTTTTGGAAATCACCAAGCCACCCCCTCTCATTGTCCCACGACCCCCACTTTGGGAACCGCAGCTTTAGACAACTGTGGTGTTAATTACAGTACCAACTGATTGAAAATTTAATTGCCCATTTATTTTTGAAATATAAAGAATTGCATGTTAATCTGGCCTATGACATAGAGACTGAAAATTGTTGACTCATTACAGGCCTATTCCCACTCCATTTTCTGACATTATCTAATTAAACTGAACTGATGAAAACTATCCAAGGCATTTAATACAATTTATTTCATAAAAACATTACAATTATGTGAATTTCTCAGGTAATGTTTCATAACTCAAAAAATTTTTACTGCTTTGGGGCGACATGGCGGCTCAGTGGTTAGCTATTGTTGCCTCACAGCAAGAAGGTCACTGGTTCGCACCTTGGCTGGGTCTGTTGGCATTTCTATGTGGAGTTTGCATGTTCTTCCCATGTTAGTGTGAGTTTACTCCGAGTGCTCTGGTTTCCCCCACAGTCCAAAGACATGCGGTACAGGTGAATTAAATAAACAAAATTGGCCGTAATGTATGTGTGTGAATAAGTGTGTATGGATGTTTCCCAGTACTGGGTTAAGGGTATCCGCTGTGTAAAACATATGCTGGATAAATGGTTCATTCCACTGTGGTGACCCCTGATAAATAAAGGGACTAAGTCAAAAAGAAAATGAATGAATGTACTATTTTGTTTAATCAAGCCGATAAATACTAAAGTTCAGTTTTATAATTGAGTTCATAAAACAATATTAACTTTCATAACAAATGTAGCTTTCTCTCACTGTCAATGCATTAACTTGATGTATTTTAATAAGACCTTATTGTAAATTGTTCATTTTTTTTTACAATTATACAATTATACAATTCTTCTGTTTACTCTGTATATTTATGTACACAATAAAGCAATAGAAAAAATGTAGAGCTGTTATAATTCAATATATTGTAATGACAACTAAATGTGATACCATCACAGACCTACACTAAAGAAAACCATCATTCTCAAAAATGGATGGGCCATTTAGATGAAAGATGAAACTATAACTACAGTTTAAGCTCCTAATTCATCTACTGTTTATATTTCTAAGAGTTGCCACCCCAAATATGGTCTAAGAACAATAAAAACAAGTGAGCAAACTGCAGAGCTATGAAGGGATGTAACATGAGAAAAATGCAGTGAGTTTGTTTTTATTACCTTTTGACGCTTGCCTTGTGACCCCCTTCTGTGACTTTCGGAAGTTCTGCCAGAAGGATTTGTTTTTCTTCTTGTTGTCCCATTTTCCTGCATGTGAAGAGAAACCCATCAGGACCAAACGCATTTACTTTTGTACAGACACTATAAATTACTAAATACACTGCTTTGTAAAAAAAAAAAAGGCACTCAATTATTGCATCTATATATGTGTGCATTTGTTTTTTGTTTTATTTAGTGTTCACAGTGACCCATAACACCAGAACATTCCAGCATAAATAATTAAATAGTTCAAAAAATGCTCCAATCACCACAAATAAATATAAATTGTTTTTATAATTAATCACAAACCTGATCCATCCTCAGAGCTGGATTTGTGCAGAGAAATTCTGATGGAAAACACAGAAAAGACCAAAATTAAGACACATTTAATAAAACATGTATTTTCAGCTTCCCAACAAACCCCCACCGATTGTCAGTGTGTATTTGTGTGTCAGTAGAGGGCAGTGTGGTGCTGCTTAGAGCACATGTCAGGCTCCTGAGGCTCACAGGGCACAGATGAGAGAAGCTCCAGAGATGCAGCGAAACGAGACGAGAAAGACAAAGTGAGAGAAAGAGACTGAGAATAAGAACCACAGCAGGACAGACACTGCTTGTTTATATTTCCACTCTTCTCCACTGGGGCGCAGTGCCCTTGGAAAATACCAAAATAACAAAACTAACACACTAGAGTTCATTTGCTGAGAGAATGGGTGAAAATAAAACATTAGGATTTTACAGATCTTCTATTGATACTGACAGAACCTATTTGGCCTACTCGTATTTATGTAGAACATGATTAAAACAAACACACATCATATATAAAAACACCTTCTCTAAACTTTTGAAAAATAAATTATTCTTGGTTAGTTGGTGGGTTGCCAAAACATCTGTAATGAACTAGAGGAAGGCATTTCTTTGAATGTATTGTAGTCATGCTTTTCAGACATTTCATCTAATGTCAGATTATATAAAACATTATATAAGAGCATGCAGCTGAATTACAAAATTGGAAGTGCTCTTGTGAAATGTTTTATTTTGTAAATATTTCCCAAGCACTTTTTAACAGAGCACGGACATTTTTCATAGCATTTTCTATCCTTTTATTTTAATTATTTTTTTTTTTTAATGGAGAAAGTTTTTTTTTTCTTTTAGCTGGGCTGAAATAAAAAAAATAATAATTCTGCTACGGTTAATAATATTATCACATTTTTTGACAGGCTACTAAACAAACCACTGTTGTACTGTAGTGACTTGCCTAGTTACCCAAGTAAAGTTTTAAATGTCACTTTAAGCTGAATTCTAGCATCTTGCAAAATAATTAGTAAAATATTATGTTTTGTCATCATGGCAAAGACAAAAGAAATTAGTTATAAAGCTATTATGTTTGAAAAAAAATCTCTATTTAACAGCACTTGGGAAATTTTAAAAGAATAAAACTTAAAGAAGGGCTAATGATGCTAAAAACTGTATATAAACACACAATGTATTTATACTACTACATCTGGAATTTGACATATTGTTTTCTCTCTCTCTCTCTCTCTCTCTCTCTCTCTCTCTCTCTCTCTCTCTCACACACACACACACACATTCACTAAAGCTACACTTTTACAATAAGGTGATATTGTGAAGTACTTTTACAGTTACTGCTTAAAATGTCGAATCTTCAGACACCCATTACACCAGTCTTTAGTGTCACATCTTATTTATTGTTATATAATGATTTAGCTTAAATTGAGACAAATCTTTTCAGCATTTTTTAATAAATATTGAAAGTCTATAATAAAAAAAATAAAATTGTCACATTAATACTAAATTTCACTTTTTAATCAAATGAATATATCCTTGCTAATTAAAAGTATAAGGCCCAATTCCAATACTATTTTTGTACCCTACTCTTTCCCTGTCCATGGCACCCAGCCATGACTAAGGACACTGCTCATATTTCTGATGCACCACAGAGCGCCATCTCAATAGTTTAATTTTATATAACATGCGAATGTGTGCATCTGGTGTGCAATACTTCCAGCTGTCATGTGCGTGCCGTGTCCCGGCGCTGAGCGGCGTATCCGGTATGTGACCTGTTTAAGAAACGGACACCACTACAACACCTCCACATGTCATCGTGATCTCTTGCTTCATATGAGATTGACAATCGCGACTGCTGTAGTTATTCCAGTTGCATTTTTTTATACTCATCTTCAGGAAATCACTGAAGCCAACGATATCCTGTTATCAACAATAAAATGTAGCAATAAGATGTACTGTAAGACGTAACTATACTGTGTATTTACACTGTGGCCATATTCATCAATGTAAACACACAAAAACAACATTAACATTACATCAGACACCATAAAAAGCTCCCAGTGACTAGTCTTTTCTGATAGGGCATTCGAGTGTCATCAAGTGTCAGATGTAAAAGTAAATAATACGTAATTTTAAGGTTTTTTTTTCCCGGCACCCCAACAATTTACCATGAAATACAGGTGTTAAATTAGAGAAATTAAATAGAACGTTTAATTTAAGGAACTTTCTGTAATTTAAAGTAAATTTTCATGTTATTTTACAGTTTTTTTTCCAGCACTCCAGCTGCCGAGGGTAGAATTGGGATTGGATCTTAATGTTCAAAATAAACTCTTACCGATCCCAACTTTCAAATAGTAATCTATATTTAAACATGTTATATTAAAAAAGTGGGACTATTATAGACATTAATGGAAATTCATATCTAGTCTTTCGGTTTTTCACAATAAAACCAGCCATATTATTCTGGCATGGGAAAATATCTAGTGTTTACATTGTCTTAGATTTAGATATAAATCACATTGACGTTGTCATACGGTCAAGTAGTAAAATGTTGCATGAAATGAGGCCATGTGTGAAGCGCTAACGAGAGAAAACAACCCCAAAACAGAGAAAAAGAAAACATTCTGTCTAAAACATATGCTAGTACTACAGACGGGAACACGAAAGGCAAGCATGCATGTCTATGTGTTGTGGTTTTCTCATCTGAGTGGTGGATTTTCACTCATCCTTGGGTAAACAATCTCAACCTCGTCTGCACTAAAGTAAACACTGACACAGTCATGTAAGCGTATGTGAACACACACACATTCGTGCACCCATGTTCTGGTTTTCTCCACAGGAAGACAGTGTTTTTACCAGTGGCTTGAATTTAAATCATCACGGGTGCATGCATGTCTGCTTTTCATCTGTTATCCATGTGTCCCAAAAACATCCTCGGTGCTAAAGCTATCAGTATCCACATAGTGTGTTTGGTGGCAGGTCATATGTTACATGTCATTACAATGACTGTAAAAATGTGCATGTGTTATTAAACAGAGCACACATTCCTGCATTTTTCAGGACGTCCATTGCACTATGACCAAATAAAGACGTCAACGCTGCTCTTTTACCGTGGTGTGTGTGTGTTTGAGACACAGGGCATGACAGAGGCCTCCCTGAATTATCATATCATTATGCTGCCATGGTGATACAAACTTTCTCTGTTTAACCTTTCATTCACCCCACAGTGAATCCAAAGGCAGTCTTGCTGCTTGTATGCTAACTGCATCCCGTGCTAAAAAGGCCCTATTGAGGAGCAGCTCAGTAAATTAGGCTCCATTCAGGATTTCTGCTATTGATGGTGCTGTATGTGTGACCAGCATACAATAAAAGCATGTTACAGTCTGTCAGTTTCTTTCTTTTCGAAGGGTGTCCTGTGTCGTTACTGGTGCGCCTAGTGGAATATTAGCCTTGTGAGCTGCATTCCTACACTGTGAGGAACTGTCATGTCCACAAGCTCTGAAATAAAGGAATCCCTGGCTTGCTGAGATTGTTATTCAGAGAATGTGATGGAAGAACATTTGACACTGGAATATATGCACTCTTACTTTCTCTACATATTTCATTTGTGTCCTTTAATTTAACGCAGAGCTTATTTTGGATTGATAACAATAAGGGATGTCACTCAAACTGACAGGTAAAGTGTATTAAAACTAAAGTCAAGCTATTTCTCTAACTCATGACCAAATTTAGTAAAACTTTCAAAAATGATTACAAGACAATTCATTCATTCATTCATTCATTTAACTTCCCTTTATTCATCCAGGGTTACAGTGGAATGAACAGCCAACTTATCCAGCATATGTTTTACACAGTGGATGCCCTAATAGCTGCAATCAAGTACTGGGAAACACCTATACACTCTCAAATTCACACACATACAATGTGTATACACATACATGTCTATGGAATGTGGGGAAAACCGGAGCACCCGGAGGAAATCCATGTCAACACAAGGAGAACATTACATGACAATAATTATATTTTCGAGCAATTTTATTTGCAAGCATCTCACGTCTCAAAGTGAAACATGGTGTTGTGCTCTTTTACAAAAGAAGCTTAGCTTGGCTCTATTTGCAGCAAATTCTGCTCCACACAAACTCTCTGAATCTACTTTGAATTTGGACTGTTTATAATAGACTGCAAGCATTAACCAATTACTCACACAATCTAGCTGTGAGGTTTGAACACTTAAAAAAGCAACTTTGTTAGAAGAACATGGTTATCAGCTGACTTTATAATCCAAAATGTTAAGGAATAAAAATCAACTGTATTCTGTAAGAGTTAATGTAAGAGCTTGCTTTATGCGTTTACCTAATTTGGAATAATCAAAAAAATGGCCTTCCAGAGTTTGAGATCAGTCAAATTAATGTGCCAACATGTAATTTCTCCCAAATTAAACGGATAATTCACCCCAAACTGCAAATATTGTTATCATTAACTCACCCTTTGATCAATAACCTGAGTTTCTTTCTTCTGTTGAAAACAAAATAAGATATTCTGAAAAATCTTGAAGAGTTAACCACTGACTTTTATACACTGTAAAATCCACCAGTCAACTTTATCAAATGGGGTAATGCAAAATGGACTGAAAGTTAATTCTACTCATTTGAAAAGAGTTTTGAACTCAGTGTTGAAGGTAATGAGTTAATTAAATACCTCATTACTTCAACTTAAATTGAGTAAGTTCACAGTACTCGTATAGATTTTTTTTTTTTTTTTTGACTCAAACCGTTTGAGGAAACCAATTGCTACAAACCATTTGAGTTGCCTTAACTTATTGGGTTTTACAGTACTCTGTTGGTTTGGATTCTCTTCACTTATTGGATTTTACTGTGCTCAAATTGCTTCGTTTACTCAAATGGGTTAAGTTCAGAGTACTCATTAGGATTAGTTTTTGAACTTAAATGGTTTGTTTTTAATCGGTTTTCTCAAATGGTTTGAGTTACTTTAACTTTTTGGGTTTTACACTGTAGTGTTTGTTTACAAATATTCAGCTTTCTTCAAAATATCTTATTTTACAACTTATATCTTTAACTCAAACAGGTTTGGAAAAACTCGAGGCTGGCTAAATGATGAGTAAATGTTATTTTTGGGGTGATTATCTTTTTGAGATGAACATCATGCTGCTTTCATCAGTTGTGCATCACTACAGTGATGCATGTTCTGCACTTTCAGAGCTAGGAGTGGGGCTTCCTCTTTCCTCTAGTCAAACTGCTGATGAGGAGAAACCCTTCTATCCCAGGGCACACCTGGTGTCCTTCCATTGGTTGGTTGATTTGCTTCCTAACACCTGGCTTTGGAGTTCAGAACACATATATACAAAAATTGCAAAGGAAGAGTGCAGGAAATGACCTTCACTGGAGGTCACGGCAAACAGAGCTTGAGGGATTTCCTTAAAGCCACACACACACACACACTCCGACACATATTTTCTCTGGATGACTGTTACCTTTCTATCACCTTATTGCAATATGCAAATAACTTATAATAATAACACATAAAACTGTAAATCTAACTTTTGAATGCTTAAGGTCAGTAACATTTTTAATGTCCTCGGAAGAAGAATTTCAGTACCTAGTACTACACTTTTGAACAGTAGTGTGTATCAAGAGGAAGACTCTGTCAACATAACAAAGATATGTCTTCAAAGCAACACAGATACACAAACACACACATCTCTCTCACTGTCATCGGGTTCTCTGTAGTCCAGCATGAACAACCTTTCTGAAGGCCAAGGCTTCTTCCTTCTAATCATACAGACAGGAAGTCTGGGTAATCTGGCAATGACTCTTTTGTCCTGTATAGTACAGTGTGATTAAGTCACAGACTATTCCTCTCAACAGATGTTTATGAAATAGGGTTGCATAGAATTATATTGGGGTTGTGTTTTATAATATGACAAACTTTAAAAATTGCTTTTGGTTAGATTTTTAAAAAAATAAATTTGCATAAGATCACAGAACACTTTATTATGATAATACAACTAAATGACAGATATTCTTTTTCCATATTGTGCAATACATTTGAATGTCCAAAAGTTGGAAAGGGACTTTGTCCAATAAGTCAACTGACCAGATTTTAGAATGTGACATGAACACGCAAGGGTAGGTTTAAGTGCACTAAATAACTAGAGAAGTCCTGCGCAAGTATGAGAGAAGTCTGCTCTTTTAACCAGAAGGTCAAGTTATGACATGCTGATTAAATATTAATAGGTCAAAGGAAAAGACAAATCAGACTCTCTTTTAAGAAATGTGTCAGTGTGTTTTGGGAAGTTAATAAACTGTAACGTTATTTGGTTTCCAACAGAGTTGAAAATGTGTTTGTTTCTAGCACAGAGTGAGTAAATTACAATAGATTTTGTGTGAATAAGCTTTAAGATGCTGCTTTTTTCAATCAAATCTAGTGTTAAAACGATCACAACTGTGGTACCAGTCAAACCAGACACATGTGCCTAAAACCACAGAGACCAATAAATGATGAAAGATGTGTCAGCTCCATATGTTTTACATTCATCTACTTCTCTCTAGAGAGTAAGCATGATGGCGATAAAATTAAATCTTTCCCATGGCGTGTGGACCACTAAAACCCCACAGGAACAGCCCATCAACACAGACCGTACGCATGGAGAAACAACCCTGTTTGTGCTCTGACATCATTAAAAAAAACACACACACACTTTGTTACTGCAATCATTCTGAGACTCACTATATGACGAATACATTTTTAAAAAAGCAAAATGATGGCAGCAATGACATCATGCATGTCATTTTCAGCTCATTTAAGCAATAATGCTAAATAAAGTTCTTTAAGTCAGCTTGTCTAACACCCCTGTGCACTATAAACTCATAGAGTCTCACTTAAGTCTGAATTTCTGTCTGTCTTCCTCTCACTAATCACCATGTTTCATCTTAACCATCTAAGAACAATGGACGGAAGGAAGGAAGCCTGGAAGCACAGAGATGTGAAGAAGTAAAACGGAGGAATTCACACCCATTGATATACACACACACACATACACTTACACTTACACTCAGCAGCAGATGGAGGATGAAGAGCAGACCTGACATGTGCGATCATATATCTGAGATGTCAGCACTCATATACAAGTCAAACAACCAGAAAACTGTCCTTTAAAGGCATGGTTCACCCAAAAATTAACATTTGCTATTAACTGAATCCCTTTCAGGCCATCCAAGACGTAGGTGACATATTGGGGTGTACTCACACTAGGCACGGTTGCCTTGTACCGTTCCCAGGCACAATTGCCATGTACTCTGCCCAGGAACAATTGCCACTCTCACTTGGCCCGCACATTTTTTTGCCTTCTGAGCCTGAGCATGCTTACGTCATTGATGATGCAAATGTTCAGTTTAATAAAAGAGAAGCGCTCTCGCTCTGTACAATGGCGATTGCTTTAATTATATTGTTTTGTATTATTTTAAGTCGTTTGATATGCAGTGACACATAGTCAACTAATTTGCTGAACAGATCCACCACTTTTGACACTCATAAATGTTCTTGAAAGTCATTGTGTGGCAGGTATTAGGAGGTTTGCTGATGGTACAGTTGATGTTCAGTGGGGGGTCTGCATGTTTAATAAACTATGACAGTTTGAGTTAATTGAAAAGTAAGAATAATTAATAAATCTATATGAAACAAACCATTAAAAGGAACGTTGGGTCTTCAGTTTCACGCTCCAGGTGAGCTTTGTACTCACACTACAATTGTACCGCACCAATGCCCAACTGAACCGCACTTTAGCACACCTCTTCCAACCGGGGCAGGGTCAGCCAACTATATTTGGAGCACTAAGGGCGTACTCACACTATGTACAGTTGCCTTGAACCGGGCCAAAGCACACTTGTCCCCACTCCCATGTTCCCCGACAGCCCGCACTCACATTACATTTGGGCCTGGGCACACTTGCGTCATTGATGATGCGCTGTTCAGTAAGTGCTTTCGCTCAGTCCAGTGGAGATTTCTTTAGTTTTATTGTTTTAGTCGTATGGGATGCAGTGACACGGTCAAATATTTCGCCAAAAAGATCAGCCACTTTTGACGCTCATAAACAAAAGTCCTTGTGCTGCAGGAATTAGGAGATTAGCTGAAGGTGCAACTGCTGTGCAGTGAGGGGTTTGCGTCTTTAATAATCTACAACAGTTTGCGTTCATTAAACAACAAGAATGATTAATAAATCTATATATAACAATCCCTTAAAGGTCACATCTTGTCTTCAGTTTCGGGCTCTGGCGCGCTTTGCACACACACTATAAGTGTACCGCGCCTGAGCCCAAGTGAACCACGCTATGGCACACCTCTTACAAGCGGGCCAGGCCTGGCCAAGTGAACTTTGCCTGAGCCCGATTCAGAGCACTCACACTTCTCAAACGATCCGGGAAACAGGCCTGGGCACGGTTCACATAGCATAGTGTGAGTAGGTCCTAAACACTTGTCAAACGAACCGGGAAATGGTGGTCAAACATGCCTGGGCACGGTTCGGGTAGCCTAGTGCGAGTACACCCTTAAGAAGTAGAACATAAAAGATGATTTTTAGCTGAAACTGTGAGTCTTGGTTAATCATAAAATGCAATTATTGACCATTGGCATTTCAACAACAACATTCATTCATTTTTTGGGTAAACTATCCCTTGAATTAAGTTTTGAACGCATTAAGTTGTTGGTTTATGGCAAACCATTTTAACATTTACACTATATAATGCACTAGTTTATATTTTTATGCTACTATTAAGTACACATACTGATTAATTAGCAACTAGCTCTTACTAGCCCTAGATTAGACCTACTAAACAGACACTACTTATTTTAGCACTAACTTGTTTTCTGTATACCTATCACATAGATACTATTAAGTTTTTATATATATATTTTTATCTAATTATTTTTTAGGGGTTTTTCACCTTTATTTTGATAGGACAGTAGAGAATTCAGACAGGAAAGCACTGGGAGCAGAGAGAGGGAAAGGATCGGCAAAGGACCTCGAGACGGGAATCGAACCTGGGTCACCATGAGCACACTGGTGCTATATGTCAGCACGCAGTACCACTAGGCTACCGGCGCCGACTAGTTTTTATAAATTGACTATACATTCTAACTATAGTAACACATTTTTTTCATACTAGTTTTGGCTAGTATGTATTCTAAATTCTTACTAGAACATTAGCAGCAGTTATTTATTACTAGGATAATAAAATGTGCTAGTATATAAAAAACAAGCAAGCAACTAATATCTGCAAAAAAATCACTAGTTCTTTATAGAATATTTACAAATATCTACTAATGACTAATACTTACAACTATACTTGATGGCAAGAAGATAAATAATAGAATTTATTATAAACTAAAAAGATAACATGGCTAGTCATAGTTTGTTTGAACATTAAAACCATCCCTTTGCTGATTCACTTGTAAAGTTTTTTTTTTTCTCACTTCGTATCATTTACAGCCAACTACTAAAAATTAGTAAGTGCATTGAGAATTTCTTACTTTCTCTCAGCCTCTGGTGTGGACACCTCACTGCTGAATCCAAATGAATCCTGCATACAAAGACAACACTGCGGTTAATTACTGTAATTACACACACACTGAGTTTAATCACTGCTGAAATACGAATCAGTGTAATTTGAGCATGCAGTCAGCTGATTTATCACTGTGTTGTAACAGTGATTTATGATGATGACTGCAGGTGTGTGAAGGTCTGAAAGCAGATCTGCACTGCATTGTGGGTCGACTGACCTGGATGTCTGAGCGGAGCTGTGAAGAGTTTAGACTAGTGTCTGATTTTTCCTAGAAAACACAGAAAAAGAGAGGGTTAGGAACAAGGGCGCACAAACAAACACCGACATGCCACTAATATAGGGCCACACATCCATGTGCTAGGAGCCTGACTTGTCATTATGAAACCGCACCTTCTGTCCTCTGCACAAACATACACACACGCACACAACACTTGAGGCATACTGAACCTGCTAGTCCTGTGCAGCAGCAAAAGACAGCAAAAAAATAAAAATAAAAATCAACATCATGTGGAATAAACCAAACCTACTGGAAATACAGCACACATGAACCCTGCTAGAAACATACACTGGCAATGTCTTACTTGCCACATAGGCATAACAGTGAAAATAGAATAAAGCAGAATAACACAAAGACTGAAAAAAAAAAAAAAAAAAAAAAGATTAGCCACTTAATCTGGACCACTGAAAATTGTGTTGGTCACATGCCTTCTCCAATTTGTTTATTTTTTGTCCATAATACAAAGTATAAAATAGATTTACTTTGCATTGTAGTGAGAAATAATAAATGAATAAAACCAATAAATAAAATAAACAAATAAAATAATTAATTAAATGAATCAAATAATTAATTAAATAAAAAAAATAAATATGCATATAAATATACAGTTTCTTTTTTTATTCAAAATACTAAATTTTTTTTTTCTTACAAACCAACATGAATTAAATATCGATAAAAATTATAGGTATAAAGGCAAAATTTGTAATTAGATGAATGCATAAATTCTTGACTAGGAACATGTTGTCATCTGTCTTAAGTTCAAATTGAAATACTTTCAAAGGGGTAACTAGCCTGTAAATCAAGAAGAACTTGCACTTCAGAGGTAACCTCATTTTGTAGGAATCGTGCTGCCCTGAGTGATTGTTTTTTTGTTCTTAACTGGTCTGGTAGGTGTCCTGGCAGAAAGGCCTAGTCGAGTAAAGGTCAAGATGGTGCTTTCATTCATTTTTTTTAAACAACCCGACTTAACAACTCTGAAACCATCAGTTGAGGCTGACGGGAACTAATGGAAAATCTATTGTGCTCTCAGTACAGAGTCAGCATCATTGCTTACTCATTCTCACAGCTTACTTTTCAAAACCAAGGCCTCTGCTAGCACACTGACCTTCCACATATCTGCATATGGGTCAAAATGTGAACATCAGCCGTTTTAGAAAACAAAACAAGCTCACAGCCCCAGTACTTCTATACCTAAAAAGCACTGTGTTGTATTAAATTCTGATATTTCTGTAAAATAAATTTGCTATATAAATAAACAAGGTAAAATCAGAAAAGGTTGCTAAAATAGCTGTTAAACAGCGTTTTTAATGACGTACTATGTTTTGATGGAAGAGGCCCCACTGGTACAACACATGCACTGTCTATACGTCTGAACATTTGGTGGACAGTATTGTGGAAATTTTGTGTCCAGACCCTCAGTTATCACAGTAGTAATCTTCAAGCCTCTTTCATGCAAATGCAGCATTTTCTTTAAAGAGAAGTACTGTTTTTAGGTCAGGATGTCTGTTTGTGTGTGTTTTGTCTCTATGCCACTACATCCATCTGCTTTAGTGCTCAGTGGTGTGTTGGTAAAGTTCGGAAGCTTCTAAGTAGTAAATCAGACGTTTTACTCTAAAAGTGAAGTCCTCCATGAAAGAAAGAAAAATGTGTTTATTTTAGTAGAAAAAACAGTTTCAATGTTTGTAAGAATCCAAAGTAATTCAAAATTTCACTTTGTGAGTCGTTCTTTAAAAGATTGTTGCAGTTGTTGTAGCTACTGAACTGAAATGTCAGAAAAATGCAATAGGCAACCACAAAAGTTTTGCAACCTTAAGGGACTCCACAGACTATTCAAATAAATGGTCTGTTGCTGTACACAAGTGAGCATTATAGTGACTTTTCAACATGCAATATTATGTACTCTAAATAAACCATTAAAGACGATATTACCGTTTACAAACTACAGTGGCACTGCCAGTGTTTTGAAGACATAGTAACACGATACTACCATAGCACAGGTAAACCATGCAACCCAATTACACACACACACACACACACACACACACACACACACACACACACACACACACACACGCACACGCGCACACGCGCACACACGCACACACGCACACACGCACACACGCACGCACACGCGCACACGCGCGCACACGCACACAAGCACTGTGGGCAAGCTGAAGTTCCAAATGAACACATACTGGTCAACGTAAACACACACAGAGGTCCGTGTTCTGTATCATCAGCAGCATGGCATCACCAACTGCCCCATACCAAGTGGGCACATGCTCCCATTGGCACACTGATTTATTTGTACACACACTGCTGCTGCCCGTGTCATCCAAAACACATATCCATTCACAAAGAGAAGCTCTGTGTCGTGTGCACTCACTGACACATGCACACTTCACAGCAGCACACATTTACACAACCACACATCTATACCGGTCAAAATATTGGATCAGTAAGATTCTAAAATAGTTTTTATAAGAAGCCAATTCTGTTCCAAAAAAACATTTAGGAGAAGTTTTGAAAAATGTTATTAGAAAAAATAGCTGTTTTTTGTGCACAGCATCCCAATATATTACGACTGCTGTTGCTTCAGAAGATAATAGTTTCAATGACAATAAGAATATAAATAAAGATTTTTTTATTCATTTATAATCTTCTGAGAAAACAAATAACCATCTTTGGCAAATTGCCGTTTTATTTTCATCAACAACTAAAATAAGACTCCTCTTCACAATCTAATTGCAGCGCTAAAACATGAGCTCTGATTGCTATATGATATTGAGGTCCAGCAGCTGGTGGATGATGAGTGACTGTGTGTCTGTGATTGCCTGAGCATGACTGTTTTCGACCTAGTACTGTATGCCGAAGATGAAATTGACTTAATAGGCAGCACAATGTCACTACTGTATCCGCTCACACCCATTTAAACAGATCAATAGAGCACATGATTACAAATGCACACAGCATTCTGAGATGCTGAGGCATGATAATGCAGACCTTCCTAAACTAAAAATGATTTTGACAGATCACTGTCAACCTCACTGCAGATGATAAGCAACTTTGACAAGCAGACAAGATAGTGGAGTGACAGACAAAGAGATTTCAACTGAAAGACAAATCAAAAAAGTAGAGATAAAATGTAAACAACTTCTTTATTATTTCCAGAATTATTATTTTTGCTATGTATTATTATAATCAATTAAAACCTAATTGAAATTACTACTTTAAAAAAATTTTTTTTTTTCTTTGGGTTCATGTGGATTAACATTTACTTCAAACAGAGCTTCTCTACGACACTGAACATATACTATAACATGAACTGCTCATGTAAAAAAAGTGTCCAAAGTGCTGTGCTTCATTCTGAAACAGGTACAGACTATGTGCATTTAATTAAGCTAGCTTTGTGAACAGATAATTGCAATAAGCCACATCACATTTTTGGTTTAATTAAAGAAACAGTTTGCTCAAAAATTTTAATTCTGTTATAAATTACTCAGCATTATTCTGAGAGAGGAACTAAATCTTAGGAGGCTGAAAACAAGGACAACTGTTCAAAAATGTGTGTATGTCTGTATGTGATTTGAAATTATGAAACAAAATTTCAAACAATGTCAGAACATAAATCAATATATTAATTATATTAATATATTAATTATATATATATATATATATATATATATATATATTAAAGAAATATGTTAATGAATATAGTTGATAAAAAAAGAACAAATTAAGAAAGGTACAATGAAATTACAGTAAATAGCTGTTTGTAATACATGCTATATGTATTTAAATATGTATTTTTGGGGTCTATGCTATAAAATGTAAATGTATAAATGGTGAATTAACAATAAAATATGTCCAAGATGCCAAAAGGATGAAATATTTTTCATGTAAAACTCAGGTATGTGTCCTGTAAAAAGAAGAAATAAGTTGAAGTAATAGATGAATGATGTGTGTGTGGTAATGGGGTGGAGATAATTATAAGCTTGTGCTTCAACATGCACCATTTCGACCATGATGTAATATATTTTGTTTAAAAGTATTGTTTTGTGTATGATTTTTCTGTTTGAAATAAATAAATCGAATCAAACCTTTCACTCGTCACAAACCTGTTCTCCTTTTGAACATAAAAATGCTGAAAATTGGTACACAATGACCTTCATTGTATTAGTTTTTCCTTGTCAATGGTAAGCGTTTTCCAACATTCTTCAAAAAATCTTTTTTTTTTTATGGTAAACAGTAGAAAACCTCAAAGGTTTGGAACCACTTTAGAAGCTGAGCAAATTAAAACCATTTAAAATTTTAATCGCGCAATAACAAGGAGCATAATAACCTTAACAATTAAAATGAGAGAAAATACTTAAAGTGTCTTACAGAAAATAATTAGTTCTGTTCTAAATATATAAAGGAAATTTTTTTTCCACTCAATTCAACTCACCTTTATTTCTATAGCGCTTTTACAATGTAGATTGTGTCAAAGCAGCTTCATAGAGAAGATTATAGTGATTTGAAACAGTGCCAGTTCAGTTTTCAAAGTTTAAGTTTAGTTCAGTTTAGTTCAGTTCAGTGTGGTTTAATATTCACTGCTGAAAGTCAACAAACTGAAGAGCAAATCCATTGGTGTGCAGCTCTACAGGTCTCTACATTTTATTGGCTTAGTAACATGCTAACTTCACAGGGAACAAATGAAAAACCTCTAGCTATTTTCTGAAACAAAGTGCTAATGTGTCGAGCCTTCAAATGAGTCAATTTTTAGCATGTTGCCTCTGCAGAGAGACTAATCACCATTCAGTTTATGAATAAAAATCACAAGGTTGTTTGGTGGCATTCTGGTTGGCATGGGAGCACTGGGGGAATAAACAAACTGGAGGAGGCTAATGAGGTGTTTAACAGACTTGCATACAGAGTCTCAGTGTGCGGGACAGGACACACACAGTCAGGTTGGCAGAAAAAAAAGCTTGGGTGGGTGGATGTGGTCGAAT